CTGATCTGGGAGCTACCTTTTGAGAATGAGTGCTCTAGACCAGGAGAGGGCAAATTTCTGCTGTTAAAGGCCAAGCAGTGAATGTTTTGGTCTTTGTAGGCCATATGGTCTGTTACAACCACTCAGCTCTACCCACCATAGCTCAAAATCAGTCCTAGACCATTGTAAATGAGTAAGTCCAGAAAACTTTTATTTTGGGGCCCTGAAATCTGAGTTTCTTATAACTTAATGTGTTACAAAATGTTCTTTTTCCTCTGATTGTTTTCCAACCATTTATAAGTGTAAAAACTATTTTTAGATCTTGGTCTGTATAAAAACAAGTAACAGGGCTAGTGTTGTGTCAGTGGGTTAAGCCACTGCTTGCAATGCCAGTATCCCATATGAGTGCTGGTTCAAGTCCCAGCTGCTCTGTTTCCATCCAGTTCCCTGCTGATAAACCTGGGAAGGCAGTGGAGGGTAGCCAGCCTACCTCCACCCACTTGGGAGACTTGAGTAGAATTCTAGGCTCCTGGCTTTGGCCTAGCCTAGCTCTACATGTGGCAGCCATTTGGGGACTGAATCAGCGCATGGGAGTCCCCTCTTTCTTCTCTCTCTTTCAAATAATCTCAAAAAAATAAAATATCAGGCCAGATTTAACCCTTGGGTTGTAGTTGACCAATCCTGCTAATGTAGCTGTGACCTGTTGGGGATTTTAAAAAGCTATTATTCTATTATTTTTTTAAAAAATATTTATTTGAAAGGCGGAGTTACAGAGAGAAGAAGAGGAGAGGGAGAGAGAGCGAGTGCCTGTATCCACTGGTTTACTCCCCAAATGGCCACAACAGCCAAGGCTGAGCCAGGCTGAAGCCAGGAGCCTGGAACTCCATCCAAGTCTCCCAAATGGGTGCAGGGTCCCAACCACTTGGGTCATCTTCTGCTGCCTTCCAGGTGCATTATCTGGAAACTGGATCAGAAGTGGAGCAGCCAAGACTCAAACTGGCTCAAATGGGATGCTGGCATTGCAGGCAGAGGCTTAACCTGCTGAGCACAATGCTGGCCCCTAAACTATTCTTTTAATTATACAAGTAATGCAAGTGGATGCTTTAAAAAACCTAACACATAGAAGAAAATAAAATGAATCAAAAAGTGTTCCTCCCCATTTCCAGCCTCAATCACATGCTCCAGAAATTGCCCTCAATTTATAGCCATGTACAAGTATATATAAATGTATAAGCTCTTTTTATATTACTGAGCTTCTTATGCATATTGTTGAGCATTTGCTTTTTTCCCCAACAATTATTATGATCTCTTTCTGTATCAATTTATGGAGATGGTTTAGCTTTTTTTATTTTTATTTATTTTTTTATTTGAGAGACAAATAGAAAGGAAAACAGTTCACACCTACTGGGTCACTGCCCAAATGCCCACAATGACCTGAGCTGAGCTGGGCTAGGCCCAGAACCAGGAGCCAGGAACTCAATCCAGGTCTCCTACGTGGATGGCAGAAAAGCAATTACTTGAGTCCTCACCATTGTCTCTGCGGGTCTGCACTGGTGAGAATCTGGGGTCAAGAGCTAAAGCAGAGTGAAGCCCAGTCTAACCCGCTGTGATGTGGGACATGGGTGTCTTAGCCGTTAGGCTCAACATCCAGTCCTAGTTGATTCTCTTTTAATGCTCCAGAGATATCTGTTGTGTAGATACAAGGGTACTTCCAAAAGTTTGTGGAAAATGAAGTTTATTTTAGTGCAAAAACTTTTGAAATCCACATAGTTGTTCTATACCATGCATTTTCCACAAACTTTTTGAGATCTCTTCATATACCACAATATATTTCATGGTTTCTGTTGCTGTTTCTCATTTGGAAACATGTGGGTTGTTTCTTGTTTTATTCTACCACGAGCAAGGCTGCCGTAAGGGTCCATCCCCGTCTCTCATTGTCTGTTAGCTGCAGGATAAAGTCCTAGGAGATGAATTGCAAAGGATATGTGCATGAAAATGTCGATAGATGTCTGTAAATACCTGTGGCAGCTACTTAGGACCGTATGTTGATTTTTCCCTCAGGATCACCTCTACATTTTTGCTATTTGGTCTTTATCTGCCTGGAACATTCATCACAATGAATTTCAGTATAATGCCTCGCTGCACATGAACTTAACACAGAGTAGTAATCCTATGGAGGGCACAAAGTGCAGCTGGCAATTTGTCCGTGATTCTTGAAAGGAAAACGGCTTTAAAGAGTATAAAGCCATCAAAACAGTGCCCTGAATCTAGGGTCATCCTGGACATGGCCGCATAAGGTAGCACAGCAGAAATTGTTCTTTTTATAGATCGGTGCACAGCAGATGTTTCTATATGTTTGTTTCCCATTAGATTAGATTTTCCATTGTGAAGCGTCTCTGTAAACATAGTATTAGCTAATAAATATTCTGCACTCCTATTGTACTAGAACTCAGAACGCTGCTGCTCTCTTTTCTATTTGGAGCTTTTCCTTTTTGAGTCCACAAAGGATTAGAATAATGAGTTAATAGACAACACCACAACATCTTAAAGTGCAGAGCTATGCTAGTTTTTTTTTTTTTTTAATTAAAGTATGTCTGTTTTTGCTCATAGGTTGTCAGAGAATTTTCTCTTCACCACTCAATCATATCTACTTACACAAGCAGTCAAGCAATCAACAAAGAAGAAATTTCTTCTTCCGGAGACAAAGAACTGTCTCGCACAGTGTAGTTTGGCCGGCTGTGGTTTCTTCAGCTCATCCAGTCCCCAAGGTACGGTGTGGCCGCTTATCTCCCGCCTTTCCCAGCCAGCACAGATGACTGCCGAAGCCATCAAACGTCTTCACACATTTGATTTCTGGACCATTCAGTCACAATTTAAAAACTTGATTTGTGATTTTAAATTGTGATGCGAGAAGTTTTAACATCCTGTAGTTCTACAGCATTAATTTTTAAAACTGAAACTCTGAATTTACAATTACTTAGCTTATTTAGGATTAAAGTGTCTATCGTAGAATTTTTTTATATTGAATTTCTAACATGAAAGAAAAGCCACACACACAGAGTTCCCTAACTTTCTTTGAGGGAAAAAACTTGATTATTCAACTGGGGTGATTCTAGAGCGATTACTTGAAACTAATACACTAGATGGCTGTTTTAAAGCCTGCTCTTAAATTTTCCATATTATTAACGCTGCTGTCTTTGAATCATCCTCTAGAGTAAGTTAAATGAGTCTCTTATCTCAGAGTATTCTTGCTTTTTTTTTTTTTCAGAGAGTACAATTCTGTAGATAGAGTCTACCCATTTTTCAAAATGCAATGTAAAGGAGATGTGTGAGTTCTTTAGGAAGGAGAATAGCTAAAAGAAATTCAGATTTGTCATAAAAATTGCCTGATTTCTTCCTTTTATGTATTTTTCCCCACTGAGCCCACGTTAACGTTAAGTATGTTATACTTCCTCAAAGTAAATGGCCCATTTCTGTGGCAAGAGCAGGTGAAACAGAAGGGCCCCCAGAGCCCAGCACATGTTCCAAGTTCAACTGAGGCCTGGCCCTCACAGTGAGAGCAAGCATTTGGTATTAGCCACAAAATGGACATTATTTTTCCTTACTAGAAAAGGAAAGAAAGTCTCCGGGCAGGTGAGTATGTTGTTTTAGACACTGTAGACAATTTCAGTGGCAACCCACCAGCCCCTCTCCTCTGCCTATACTTGTCACCTGGCCCCATCACAAAGCAGAGTGGAGACGAGAACACATGCTCTCTGAGGGAGACCTGGTGGGTGTTAGCTGGCACTGGTCGGGTAGCCGTAAGAGCATAGCCGTCCCGCAGAGCTCAGCTGTGGCAAACCAGGCAGTGGCATTACCTGGACCAGAAAAGCCCATCAAAACGGGAGAATAAGTGACTCCTCAAATCCTGCTGGCTGCACTTCACAAAGAAGAGAGTCCTACCTCAACCTTGCAGACTTGCTGTGATGTTTCCATTGAAGAGTGTTACCTGGCTCAGCTTCCTGTCCCAAACTGCCATGTAGCCTTACTGTGTACCGCTCAACAGTGCTGGTGTAGCAGTTGCTATAAATAGTTTGCAAAGAGCTATGCGAAACCTTGGGACTGAAAGGAGCTCTGTGTGACAGAGACTATTTATTTTCCTAATACTGCTGGAGAAATGGTCTACCAGAGTGATCAGAGTTGAATGTTTTGAGTTTAGGGGGTTGTGGGGGGGGGGGGCTTTTGTCTGTTCTCAACAAATGAAGGAAATGTTCTAGGTAATTTTTATGTACTTGGAGAAGAAAAGGAAAGAGAGCTGTTTTGTTTCCTCCGCCAGCCTCTCAGTTTGAGTATGGTTGCAGAGTGGAAGAGGTGAATGCAAAAGGCTTCAGTGGGCTTTACCGTCAGTCAGCCCTCTTACAAACCTCCGTGCAGAGAGGGTGTTGGGAGCTGTCCTTTGCATACATCTTACCTTTGTCTTAATGAATCATTTGGCAAACTGGAAGCTTGGCGCGCGCGCTCTCTCTCTCTTTTTTTTTTTTTTTTTTTAAATCAATAGTGGTTTACTTCTAGTGGGCTTGGGCGGAGGAAGAAAAGAAACCACTGTTTGTTTTGACCAGAAGTCTACTTGAGTCCAGTTTAAGTCAAAGCGTGGTAAGGTTAGCAGACCATCCAGAGGCAGCGCTAACAGGCCATGTTAAGTTCAAAAGGGCAGGGGAAGGAACCGGGGGCAGCCTGGAGGGTCTGCTGTGCTGGCTTCGGAGGTCGGTCCTCCGGCAGGAAGGGCAGAGCTCCATGAAGCAGGAGGCTGTGTCCGACAAAATGATCCCATTGTCGTGCGCTGAGTTCTGATCTTCGTTTTCAATCCTTCTTCCTCAAGCACATAAAGAAGCCAGACTATGTGACGACAGGCATTGTGCCCGACTGGGGAGACAGCATAGAAGTTAAGAATGAAGATCAGATTCAAGGGCTCCGTCAGGCCTGTCAGCTGGCCCGTCACGTCCTCCTGCTGGCCGGGAAGAGTTTAAAGGTGGCGTCTCAGCAGACCTCGGGATGAGCTCCTCCCAGGCAGCAAGCACTCTGCGTTTTCCCCTGTTTGCCTCTAATACTTCTTTTGTACACATCTCATTTGTCTGGAAAAAATTAAGTAAAGCCTCAGGATGGCAGGCAGGGATTTTATTATTTTATGTGTTTATTCAAGACATGGTTTAAATCCAAGTTCAGCTTTAACTAGCAGAATTCTAGAAACACTTTGAACCCATTAGCATATCCAAGTTGGTCCATGGCAATGGCTTTGACTTCTGCCCCCTTACTCCTGCCTTCAGTGTCTGCTTTTATTTCCCATGTTTTTTCTGTGTCTGAAGAGTTGCTCTACCTTGTGTTTTATCTCCTATTTTCTTGCATTATCTCTGCAAAGAAAGATCAGACCAGATGCACAAAGCTATGGATAACATACCAATGTAATTATGTAAAACTATCCTACTGTAAGATTTAGTTCTTTAGTAATAATCTACAATACCCTGCTATAGAAGAATCAAGAAAGAAAATATGGACCTCTGGTTTCCAAGAGGTAGGCAGAACTTCAGAAGCGAGATTCAAAGGTAGAATCACGTATATGGTTGTGTGTCATAACTTTTGGCCACATAATTAAGCATCATGTGAATATAAAATAACTCCAAGAAAATGATTAAAGAAATAGTTGACGTTTAATAAATGATTTTTTTGTTTTACAATTTTAGTTTGACTTACAGTGTTATAGAAATAGTCTTCATGTGCTTATAAAACTCCATGTCAGTTTTCTCTTAGTTTGAGAGTAATTGGATGTCAGGGGAAATTTAAAAGCAAAGTTTATTGTTTAGATATGGAAGAAATCAAGGTTAGTGAAAGTCAGTTGTCTATAAAATGTCTGAGACTCGGGTTTTTCAATGCTGACCCCCAGTCTCCATGCCATTGCTACAAAACCCTTGGAACCCCCTCCTGGGATGAGAATTTGTGCGCTGGCCTAGTGTTCAGCTTTGTCGTAGAAACTGGAGATCCTTCTGAGCATCACTTTATGTTCCAGTCAGCTCAGAGCACTAACCACTGAGGAAGAGGAAGGAATTGTCAAAGAACGCACGTTTTTATATCTCCAGGCTAAAAGGGAATCATTTCATTTAGTGACTCACAAACGATTTTAAAGGGTCCTACAGTTTAAATTTTCAACTTCCTAATAGCCCATAACTCTGTCATATACCCAAATGATTGTCAAAAAGGCACAATTGAGGACTGTTAACATTAGTCATAATTAATTAAAATGTTAGACCATAAATTTACCCTGGTAAATTCATACAGTCATTACGGTAGACATAGCATATCCAGGTTGATAAATACAGTAAATGTCTTCAACTGTCACTGCACAATTTCTTTGTTTAATATTTTAGGTTGACATGACAACTGAAGAGATAGATGCCCTCGTCCATCAGGAAATCATCAGTCACAATGCCTACCCCTCGCCTCTAGGCTACAGAGGTTTTCCAAAATCTGTTTGTACCTCTGTAAACAACGTCCTCTGTCATGGTATTCCTGACAGGTATTCATTTTTTAATAACATATTGGTCCTGTGGAAACTAAAACATGAAACCAGGTCTATATCATAAGTTGAAAGACACTATATTCAATTGAAACCCACCCGTGAACTTCAGAAGCTGGTGATGGGGAAACAAATTTGGAAGTATTTTGCTTCTAAGTGGACATAACTGCCACCATTCAATGCTTATTAAAGCAGTTTCTAACCTAAAAAAAAGTTGTTTTAAATATTTCTTTTACCTTCTTAGATTTTAATATAAAAATGATAAAAGTCCAAATGTACACACATTTTTTGTTATCAATTAGTATCATGGCTCTTAGTAAAATTAAGGTAAGTAATAAGCACATCTTTTTAAAGAATTATCAACAGTGGCAATGCATTCATATTGTGTATTATAAAATTTGATGTGACTAATGTAAGGTAAAGATTAGATACAGTTATTCCATTTGTTCCTCTTTCACTCCAGATTATCACGTGACTCATTGGAGTTGTGATTCTAGTCATTAGGTATTATTTTTCTATTCCTTTTATTGAGACCTGTCTATCACCCATGTTTTTGCTGTTTATGTTTCAGTCGACCTCTTCAGGATGGAGATATTATCAACATTGATGTCACGGTGAGTAAATCATATAAAAAAATAGTCTTTGATCAACTTCAGCATTGCTGGTAGCAACAGGAAGGGTGGATTGAAAACATGAGCTGTGCCAGTGAAGTGCTGTTTACTTGTAGCCCCAGACGCAAGCAGCTGGTTTCCTTTTTTGTCTTTAACTCTGTGTTTATTCCAAGTAAACCCAGGCCTGACTTGAATTTAGGGCTGGAATCAGATGCACTGAGATCAATGTTGGCCTAAGTGAAATGTCAACCCAATCCTGCTATGTGTCATGTTTTTGAGAAGGTGTAATTGTTATTGATCCACTGTGTAGTTAATGCAGAGCACCACAGCACTGGGCAGCTGCTGAAGCTAGATATGTATGAGATGAGCTAACACGAAGAAAGCCAGCATTTTTCCTTCACTCTGCCAAGATTGATCTTCCTCTTCCTGCTGATTTTGAGTGGGGCCTGTCATTATCTTACTCTGTCATTAGGGGCTACATTGGCCTGTGTGTGTCAGTCTATTTGGACAGCAACTCTTTTGCTAGCAGTGTTCCCTAGATTTATTAAAATCCCTGAAGGTAACATCGTGTTCCATTTCTGGTCTAGAGAACCTTGAGCACCAGGCATGCAAACAGAGTAGTTTTCTCTGTGAACGTCAGTTTTCACCAAATGGTTAATAGAAATTTTAAATAACAAGCCCAAGTAATTTAACACAGGGACTCCAAATTGTATGAGCTAATCTGTTCTGGTTTTCTTAGCCTTTTACTATTCTCAGACTTAAATTATATATACTCATGTTCTTTTAAAAAATTTTATTTGTAACGCTTCCTTTGAATTCTATAGATTGTAAATAAATTCTACACATCTGGTGAATACTCAACACATTTTAAATAAATAAATAAAATTTAAACATCTGATGAATGCTAGTTGCGGTGGACAACATTCAGTTTCTATTAATGAGGAAATAGTCTCAATAATAGTTATTTTATATGCAGACCATGAAACTTAGGTAAGAGTGGGAATAAGGTAGAAATAGGCATCCAGTAGTTGAATTCGGTCAGATTTTTAGTTGTTTGCATTAGTTTAAGATTTTTTTCTTCACATCAATTTGTGTGAGGATATAGCCAAAGATCCTTTTATTGCTATACTATTTCCTGTATCATTTTGTCCTACTTAGAATACTTGAACATTTGCTCTCTATATAGATCCTCTTGGTATCTTTCCATCTCAAAATCATGTCGAAAGAGGCATTTTATGAAGTGTACCTGAAGTCAAGTCTTGTTCATGATACACTTTTACTTTGGATTATACCTGACATTAGGATTTTACATTTATTATCTCACCTAATCACCCTCTAGTAGAATTTTACTGCTTTGAATGAAATCAGCATACTCTGCCCTACTATTTTCAATGTGTCCAAAGAAAATATTCTACTCATATTCCTTTTCTAAGTTTCCTGAAGACTTCTAATAAACAATTTCATTTTCAACATTCAAATGATTTTACCAGTTACAAAAGCCATAAAACAAAGTGACATACTTTTAAGTATCTAGAAATGTGAAGGAATCTAGGAAACATATAAGTCAGTTCCTTATCAAATTTTGTTCCTATGAAATTTTTCATTGAATGGACGACTCTGTGATCAGATCCTGTACTTTTGTGGGAAAGTACTCATTGCATTTTATGGTTGTTTATGTCTAGTATGCAGTATAAGCACCTAGACTTCTTCCCCTCTTGAAAGTTGAATGGTTTTTGCAAAACACAATGAGATGCCCATAATACTTCTTCAGTAAGTATTTGTTAAATAAATGAATTACAGGGGACAGCATTTGGTGCAGTTTAAAATGCTGCTTGGGAGGCCTTCATACCATATTGGAGTGTCTGGGATTGAAGGCCACTTCCAGCTCCAGCTTCCTGCTAATGCGTATCTTGGGAGGCAGCAGGTGATGGCCTGCATACATGTGAAGGTTCTGCCACCCAGTAGGAGACTCAGATCAGGTTCCAGGCTCTCAGCTTCAGCCTGGTTCAGCCCCAACTGTTGAAAGCATTTGAAGAATGAACCAGGATGAAATATCTCTGTCTCTTCATCTCTGTCTCTGTCTCTCTTCCTTTCAAATACATTTTAACAATGAATACTTTTTTAATTAAAAACAGAATTGTTAGTAAGAAAATAGGTACAAACAGTAGATATAGATGACTACCACAGACTTTTCAAAAGTATTATATTTCCATATACATTAAATCTTCCAAGTAATCATTTTTCAAAGCTCAAAAAAAGACAGACTTTTAAAATACATTTTACATAAATATCAGCTACATAAACATTCACAGCTACGAATTTTCTTGATAATTGCTCTTCTATTACCAAATTTTATTTTTCTGTATATAAAATCGGAACAGTTTTCTAAACAGCAAAGGACTGTGAGTGGAATGAGTGTATAAACTACTGTCTTGCCAGGTACTCAAGATAATTTGCTCTGGCAGAGAAAACCTGCTCTATGAACCAGGGTCTACCTCCGTGTTCTGCCACTAACTTTCAGCAAGTTACCTGTCTGTGCCTTGGTCTACTGACTCACAAGGTGAAGATCCAATAAAGACAATTCAGTGTGGGAGAGCGTTCTTAAAATGCAGAATAGTGTACAGATTTAAGACATTAACTCACTATCAAAATTCACAGAAAGCTCACATTGATATCTTTTTTACAACAATTTTTACATTCTGCTTTATGAGAAAAAGAAATCTGAGAAATTATTAGGCTAGACAAATTTATGCAAAAGAACAAATTCTGTGCTGCATCCAGGGATCAGTATTCAAGCAATCTGCTCTGCCTTCTATATTTATTATGGTGTTTGGTAATCATTGATTTTTTTTCATATTGAATGTGGTGTCTTTCAGGATCCTACAGGGCTTCTGAATCATTGAAGATTGATAAAATTACATTTTCTGTATTTTTACTCTTAAAATTGTTTTTTTAATATTCTAATTCTTCCCAAAAAAATCCTTCCCTAGTGTTTTCTGTTAACATTCTGCTATCTGGAATGTTTCATTAAGATTTCACTTCTGAACACAGGATTTTCCTATAACATGTTTCATTGCTGTATTGAACCATTTCAGTTCTTTGAACAAAATTCTCCTCTATTGATATACTTGTCTTATTTCTTCTTGTCGTTACATATCATTTCCCAGTAGAGAACTGGCAAATAAAAGATCAAGCAAATCTTCATGAGCCTGAAGAAACTTTTCACTATGTTAATGTCTTAGTTCTCTACATCTGTTATAGAAATTATAGGTCAGTGTCTTTGGTAACTAATTTTTTTCATATACACTTCTGTCTTCTCGGGAATAAAGTGCAGAACCAAAATATTACAATAGTAATACTGAAGTAGCCATATTAATCACTTGTTTTTAAATTTTGCAGTAATATCGTTCGCTGTCTTCCTCTTCAGTTTCTGCAAGGTTCCAGCGTATCTGTTTCTTCCTTTTTAATAGACAGATTTGAGAGTGATTCTGGAAGGAGAAAAACCCACGAAACTATTGAGGACCCACATGAACATAATGTATACTTAGGAGAGTAGATTTTCAAACAAGGACATATTGTAAAATGTCTGCCTGTGTTTAGGTCTATTTCAACGGCTACCACGGAGACACCTCTGAGACATTTTTGGTGGGCGATGTGGATGACTGTGGTAAAAAGTTAGTGGAGGTTGCCAGGAGGTGTAGAGATGAAGCAATTGCAGCCTGCAGAGCGGGGGCTCCCTTCTCTGTAATTGGAAACACAATCAGGTAAGCCTTGCACTGACAGGTAAAGGGAGGGTTGGCAAGTGGTACAAAGGTTATTGGTGGCTTGGTTTAAAGCTGATGACATGTTTTGTGATTCCAAACCATCATTTCAGTCTGATATCAGTATGTGAACTGCCAGGCTGCAGTGTTGTTCCCTGGGTTGGGGGAAGAAAAAAAAAAAAAAGATTTTAAAAAAGTGAATTATAGCAGGGTCAGCAAAGAAACTTACTGGAGCGGCAAGCAATATTTATAGGGTTGCGTTTGTTTAAGCTTGATACATTGGTGTGTGGTGTTCCTTTCTCAAAAGCACAGCACAGACAGAAGGAAGTGCCTAAGCAGGGGATGAGCTTCCCGACCCCTTGTCTCAGGAGACAGCTGACAGCTGAATTTTATCAAGGAATGAAGTAGAATGTACTCTTGTGATACAAAGAAGAAACGTGTTAGCTCCAGCAAGCCTTACCTTCCAAATCCGTAGATTAGCAAAAAGCTTGTGGTCCACTGTCTTTTTTTGTTGTCTGGTTCATTTTCCCTATAAACCATTGTTTGTTTTCTGCACAGTGTTTTTTCTGTGTTTGCTCTCTGAGTGTGTGTGTTTTCCGAATTCAAGACTCTTCTTTGTCACCTACTTTTAGGTCTTTTTTTCTACCCCTAACTGTTTTGAAATAGACAGGCAGAGTATGTGTTTTCATTGAAAAGTAGTGCATTTTGTTAAAGATGATCACATCGGTACCCTTTAAAGTTCTGTCCTCATTAATATACACCACTGAATACTTCCCATTTGTCTGAAGGATGGAAGGCTAGTCACCTTGAAAAGATGCTGCCTTTTTCCTTCGCACGCCTTCAAATACTTTAAGAAAAAAGGCAGTAAAATATCAGCTAAATGTATTTATGGCTTTAAAAATATTGTAACAGTGTCTGAATCAAACTTTAGTAAAATCTCTTTGGGTTATATCTGAGAAGCTTTTATTGAAGACTTTGAACAAAATTGTGTTTTTGACAGTTTTAAATTATAGGCTAACTAGCCTGGGAAAAAAGGATAGTGTCTCTCTGTTCTTTCATAGGAAATGTTGAATCAGACCCCTACTGGGAAAAGAAATTTAATGCATATCTCACTATCTTACTGTCCATGAATATAATAGAAATGAATTCAAAATGCAGTTTTATTTTTGCAAATGGGATGAGTCGATAGATGCACCTCGTATTTTTGAACACCTAGGGTTCAACAAATTTACTGGTGGTGCTCTTGCATTTTAACAAAATTTGTTCTTCAGTGGAAGGGGGCAGAGAACACTGGATTCTTATTCAAGCATTCTATGGAGCTCTGCATTCATGGCTGTGTCTAAAGGGCATGTCAGCCTTTGATTCTCTCTGAGAGGTAATTATCCTTTTCCTGTCACGGAACAACAAATGATAGCTAACTACAGAGGCACATTTGCAGTAGTCACATTCATCAACTGCAGGAAAAAAAATTCAATTTAATTGTGCACCACAGCTGCACATGGGCTTTTGAGCATTTCTGTTGTTCTCCCTGTCTCGCTATTCCTCCCTCCAGATCTATTTTTTAAACTTTTTTTCTGGTTATTTTTTCCCCTTTTTGTCTCTTCTTCCATTTTTACTCTCTGTACTTTCTTGTTAAAGTAATTTTCCTTTGTGGCTCTCGTTCTTTTTTCCCCATTGAAGGCTATGAATGTAGAAAATTATCACAATTACTCATATAATTGAGCCTCTTTGTAGCAAGTGCAACTCCAGTAGCCTTTCTCCATCATGAAAATGGTTTCATTATAGGGTTTTTCATATTCTCTGACACCATCTACACAGAGGGACAGGCGTGCAGATGAGCTGCGCTAGGAACAGGCTAGATCAGTAAGGTCACAGTAGGAATAATTAGCTCTGCTATGGAAAGAGCATCTAGGCCTTTTACTGCTACATAAATGTACTGTCCGTGGCTTTTAGTCACAAAAAAAACTTACTAACAAATGGAGCTCCCGCCTACTACTTTGAAAAAAAGATTTGTATCAACACTACAATTTTCCATCATTAAGACTAATAACACAGAGGCTAGTATACATCAAGGGGAATAAAAAGAAAAATCTCACATTCAAGTGGCGGCTGGGTGCTGACCTTTGTTCCCTTTTTTTGTGTACGACTTAACTCTTTACAAAAAAGAGCCACACGCCACACCAACATGCAGGTGAACTCCAGCTCGAACTAGCAGAGCATAGCATTCAGTCGGAAAATCTGATAAATCTCCATGCAGGATAATGCATCTCATTACATATGCACTGCATTAATTCTAGCTACATAAAAAAAAAAAAAAAAAGAAGAAGAAGAAGAGTAGAATTGAAAGTGACATTGGATTTTAGCTATCTGGATGCAAAGGTCACTTTTCACAGAGTATGAATTTGCATGCACAAGCTCCTTTGAAAACCAGATCAGTCCCTACAACTGCACTTAGAAAACTATGTGGAACATAACAGACAATGAACTTTTTCCTTTCCCCCTAATACATTGCATTATTTAGATGGTTTCTGTCTGCCGCTGGGGAGGAAGCTGGCCCCGATTCTAAAAATGTTTGGTCTGATGTGTGAGAGCAGTGGTTCTGGACATCTATTGTGCCTTTTCTTATTCAGGCAAAATCTTAAGGGAGGAAATAAAGAAACAATCTCCACCTTGAAGCCATAAGTACTGAAATCATTACAGACCAAAGGTTTACAAACACCTTTCGATTTGATCTCATTTATTTTAAGATATTCCCCATCTTTCGCGTAGCCTCCCTCTACTGTTCCACGAGGAAAAGAACATTCCTGGTGCATCTTACGCGAGGACGCGAGGGTTGTGTGACCAGAAAAGCCCCAGATTGCTATAGGAAATTTTGAAATCCCCCCTCTGAGGCCTAAGAACAGAGTGATGTCTGTGAAGAGACATTGGCTACCGTGATGTAGTGGAAGAGTTCTCCGTGGGCCCTTCTGCTTTGCGAGGGGCGCCCCGTGTTCTTAGGTCGTGGCGCAAGTATACTCACGCTGCCTCCGTCTGCTCTCAGATGTTTCCAAAGCCACCTTTTCGTTGCTGCCCCTGGGTTATATGGTCTGTACACATGAGAATATGATGAATGTGCAGAATCATGCATCACAAATAGGCGGCAATTGAATCAAAAATAATTTAAACTTATAGTTGTAAATGTCATGATAAGGGTATCAATAAATGGTTTTTAATGTTTAATTCATAAGTGTATGTTTTGATATTAATTTAGAACAATACAAAGCAGATTTTTAAAAACAATCTCTATTAGATTATGCACATTTAAACAATAAGTGGCTCAGGCAAAATAAGTCATTTTAATGTCATCTGTGATGGATTTTTCTTGACAGCTACTGTAAATTACAATTACGCTGCTTCTCTCTGCACATGAAAGTAAGCACTGCAATAAATTATCTTTTATTTCAGTCCATCATGTCTGCTTTTCAGAAACAAAAAACCTCAAATAAAAGTTCAGCACTATTATAAGAAAAATACAGCAATTTGTGATCCAGTTTAAAACCAACAAACGAAAAAATACCATTCTTTTGGAAAACAGTTGTCGGCTCTCAAAAATATTACTAATTGTACTTGAGCATTCCTTGTCATCAAAGGGAATCCCTGGGTTTGGCTATTCCTTCATTCAGAGAACACTGCTGAAAATAAAAATCTGGAAGGATTAAAGTAAAACCCCTAACTTATCAAGTCAGGTGTCATTTGAGATCCGCATGTGAAGATCAGTCTTGTTCATAGGATTCATGTGAAAATGTCACAAAACTATTTCCCTGTATACTTTTATTTCTTTATAAGAGCATGGGCTTAAACATAGTACTCCTCTGCCCTCTTGGGGAATGTATTTTTAGTTATAAAAAGTACTCGAAATGGATTAAGAAATTTAATTTATCTAGAAAACACTAGAGTGGTGTACAACTGTCTCATAAACGGGAATTAAACTGCCAAAAATGATCACAGGATATACAACTCCTTAAAGGAGATTTCTCTCCCACGATCCTCACCAGCTGAAACACGAGCTGTGATACCAGGGTAGCACTGGAAAGCAAGTTCATGAGCAGCCTTTACACACCTGCTTCCACCCCTCCCTCCTCAGACGTCCCTCCAAAAGGGCTTCCAACCCTGAACAGGCCTGGGCTCACGGGTAGGTGTCCCTCTGTCTTAAAGGATTTTTAGAGGAGACTTCAGCAGAGAGAAGCAGGTGAGATATGCAGGGCAGAACAACTCTTGAGATCAGAAACAGGTCGCGGCCGGGTGGCATCTGGTGGCCGGCAGCCATTGTGGCTCTTCGGGTCACTGCTAACCTGCCCCACGATTTCCCTTGTCCCCAAGACACCCACCAAGAGGCAGATCCATGCACCACCTTCCCAGGCCACAGCCACTTTTACCAGCATCTGCTGTGTGCTGAGAGCAGAGGAATTTGCCATACAAGTCATTTGGATGGTCTCTGTGAAGTCGGATTTCAACCCTGCAATCAGGTGAATCTCCTGCTCACCGTGGATCCCGGAGTAATAGAAGAGGCATGCTTTTAAACAGTGGTTGGGAACATTCATGAGATGCTAGCCCATTTGGCCCCAGTAGTATTTGTTAAAAACCAACTGCTAGTGCAAAAGCAGAGGGAAGTGCACAGACTGAGCCTCTAGGACTGAGCCCGGCTAAGGGATTCTGCCAAGAACCTGGGAGCTGTGGCCTGCTCCTTCCTTGCTCCACCCGGCCTGAAACCCTCTAACATCTACATTCTTGACACATGCATTCTGTGGCACTCCTGTGGCCGGAAGTTCCAGGAGGACCCAGGGAGGCAATTGTTGTCGGAGAATGCACTCAGCTATCTTTAGCCGCCTAGTAATTGCACAGCTGCTTTTATGAAGAGGAGTGAGAGGTATGATGGGGGGAGGGACCCCAAGTGTTTTTCCAGAGTGGGCTTTCTTCCTCTGCTCTCATCGGAAATTAAAATGAAGATCGCCGTTGTAACACACGTTTAAGATGTGGCCGTGATGCCTGCCAATCAGTTGGATCCTTTAAAAAGAAGAAGAAGAAAGAAACTAGATTTTTTTTTTATAGGAGAATAGTTTATATTGAATGCTGTTCAGATCACAGGTTTATCGAGATTGGATTTACATAATTTACAGGTTTCGGTAGGATCTTAAAAAAAACCTAGATTATTATGCCTTATTCAGTCATCTCTTTTCTACTCTCAGTGTCTGTTCGGAAACTATGTAGCACAAATGCTTTGGGAAAGATATTAATATTATACCTCCTGCCCAAAGGCCGAAGTCCCTCAGAAATAACCATAACTAAATAGCACAACTTAAGGCGTAACAATGTTGACTTATGGTAACTGTCCTCAGTTCCTGACTAGCTCACCTGTTTCTGCGCTGTCAGTTACCTTGAAATGAGATCTGAATGCAAGGCCGCCCCAGGGCTGGTTGCAGTGACATCCTGGTCTCAGTGAATATCTATTACAAGTCTGGAAATGGTTAAAAAAAAATGTCTTAAAACAAGTGTGTAAACATAAATATCCCTGAAGATGCTGGCTAAAAGCCTTTGGGTTCATGTTAAATTAAACCTGCAGTCTGTTGGCAACTCTAGTTTCAGATGTAAAAACTTTGATTTTGTTAAGAATTGAACTAGTAGTCCTATAAATCCCACTCCATCGCTGTGGTGGGGTTTCGGGACATAATGCCCTCATCCACGTGAAAATATAAATCATTAAAATGGTATTTGTTCTTGTCGGTGTGGTGCTCGCAGAAGTAAAAGCATTCACCCGATTTCAACAATATCGTTTCTACCTGGAAGCTGAGAATTTCAGGGTTGGATGCGATGTGCTAGATTTCCTTTAGATAGGATAGACGGAACTCAAAATATTTGCATATAGAAGTAACTAGGAAGCATTGAGAATTAGGAATCGTGGAGTGGGCATTTGGCTTAGCTGTTAAGATAGGAGTTGGGACCCCTGTGTCCCATACCCGGGTGGCTGGGTTTGAGTCCTGGCAGTTACTGCTGGGCTTTTGGGGAGTGAACCAGTGTATGGGCGCTCTCACTCTCTCTCTCTCTCTCTCTCTCTCTCTCTCTCTCCTGATCTCTTTGCCTCTCAAATAAGTACAGTAAAAATTTTTTTTAAACAAGGAATTAGGAATCACAACAGCAGCTTCTCTTGAGCGTCATAGTGATTAAAAAGCATTCTTGATAAATGTAATGGTGTAGGGTTTGAGCGGCTCCCAAATTATCACAAAGTTTTGGAGTGTTTCAAGAATATTGACCAGTAGATCTCATCTTCCGTGTGAATATGTTTGTGAAATGCATGATGATTTTGAAATAGATCGGAATAAAGGGAACCACAGAAGTGGAAAGTCATAGTCCTTGATTTTAATGTTTTCCTTCTAGTTGGATACTGAATCAGTAGCAATTTTATGAAAGGTAGCTTTGTATGACTTGTATTGTATGCACACACGTATAACAATCTATATTGCTGTGTATACTTACATGCTGTCTAAAAGTGACCTTGTTTGAATGCTATACTAAGGTAAATGACTCAAACAGCTGTGTTAGATACATAACCTTCCTTCTTCCTGTAGCCAAAGGGGGTTGTTACAAGCAACTACAAAAAGTAAAATTACATCAGCATAAAGAAAACAGATGGATGTTATCATCTGATGCTAAGCATAACTGATTTTTTTCTTTTTCAGAGACAATTTTAAATTACTTTGTTTTATCTTAGTATGCATTAAAAACCTATGTGCTTTAACTTTAAAAAAAAATTTTTTTTTACTACTTCTAAAGCCGTATAACTCAGCAGCATGATTTGCAAGTCTGTCCACATTTTGTGGGCCATGGAATAGGATCGTACTTTCATGGACACCCAGAAATTTGGCATCATGGTAAGGAAGTTAATTTGGAAACTGTTTATAGAATGGGGTCAGAATAAGGCAGTTTTACTCCTTAAGCTCGTCCTCTAACTTTGAATTTACATCGTCATCAGAGTGTGTGTCTGTGTGTGTACAGAGAGTGGGGGGCTTGCTTAATTTTTACCAGCACATCACTAAGTTACTGGATTAAAGCCCAGCAATTTCCCAAAATAAGGTTTATTTTCTCTTTGTCTTTTCCCGAAGGGTGCATGGCTGGAAGGCACAAGAGATATTTGTCTAGAAAAAGTTACTAGAAACAAAACGCCATTGCATCAATGTCGCAGCAGCATGCACACATGACTGTTTTCTGTTTTTCTTTTCCTACCCCCTCTTCTAACCGCTGACTGTTGTGGTTAAACTTCATTACATCTTGCACAGCGTTGACAGCTGATGTCGTTCGCAGCGTGTACTCTGCAGCGGGCCCTAGATTATGCCCACTCTTGTGTTCCTTCCCCACAGCCTTCTGTTTGGCACTGCCTGGGTGTTCGCCCACAGTGGGACCTCAGGGCCTGAAAGGGTGGGAGGATTTGAGCTAGGCCAGGAGGCAGCTCAGCGGGGCACCCCCACAGGGGCCGCACACCTGGACAGGGACCAGAGAGTTGGTTCTGGGGCCTTGACTTTTGCACTTGGGGTGGGCTAGGTCTCTAGAGGGTGCCTGGAACCACCCCCAGGGGACCCTGGAGAGCTGGCAGGCCAGGACTCCCTTCAAAGAGGCAGCTCAGAGGAGGTGCAGGTGAGCGTGCACGAGGAGCCAGTGAGCCCTGTGCCCCACCCAGCAGCCATGCCTGGAGCTCCTGCTTCAGCCGGCACCTCAGGACGCTTGTCCTCTCTTTGCATCCTTTCCCAAGATTGCTTTTTCTTAGGGGCGGGGTGGGAGCAAGGCCTGCAATTCAGTGAGGCCAGGAGACCTGGCAACAGGTGGCCTGGGGGACCATGGCAGTGGGGGAGGCCACCCCAGAGCTGTCTAACCCACCCAGGCTGCCCCCTGCCAGGCCTTGGTGGACTTCCAGGTGTGTGTGTGTGGTGGGGGGTCCTCTGCCCACAGCACAGAAAATGCCAAGACTGAGGCCCAGGGGCTCTGTTTGCCCCCTGTCACCACTCAGGACTCTAAAAGCCTCTTCTTGCTCCCCTGAACAATATACCCCGGGGCCACTTCTTTTAAGCAGCCTCCCCCCACCCCAGTTCTGGTTCTCACATCCTTCCTCCTGCTCTCACTCGCTTCTGTGTTCTCTGTTCACAGCGAATGACAATGATCTCTCCATGGAGGAAGGCATGGCGTTCACCATAGGTAATGCTGGGACCCCGCTGTCTAGAGCGGAAGCCGAGGTGCAGGCCTGGGCCCCGCAGGCCCCGGGAAGGACTAATAAAGCCAATCAGCATAATGAAATAATTCGGATGCATAGTAAATCTGATTAAACAACATCCTCAGCCCGTCTCCCTAAATCAGATACTTACTGACACATTTAGGAGACCAGCAGCCCAACCTCTAATTCTGTTACCCGTGTAATGTGGCGTTTGGGTTTTTTGTGTTTTGTTTTGGTTTGCCTTTTTTCATTAACACCCAGTAACTAGAGGCAATGTGTCCCTTGCGCCCTGTCAGCGAGTGGCACGTGCTCTCTGGCTCGGGGTTGACAGAAGTCTGATGGCGTGACTGCTGTCACCGCCAAATTCCAATCACCTAGCCCTGAATGCATTGGATTTCTGACTGTGGGACTTAATGGAGAAGCAATTAGAGTGAAATAAGAAAATTGTTATTTGCTGATTAACGAACATTTTGAACATGTTTTAAAAATTCAAATATTTTTTAAAACCGACTGGTATTTATAATAAGAGGGACTGGTGTTGGGGTGGTTATTATCCACGGGGTCCTAATTAAACCTTGATTAAAATGCCCTTCTTTCTCTAAAAAAAAAAAATCACGAACTAGACAACTTTGTACATTTTTCCACGCCGTGGCATTTCGTCTTCCCACCGTCTGGTTTGTCCTACGCCGCATCAATTACCAGCCCGCTCAGGATGACAACGCCAACCTGTGGGGGAAGCTCTTGAGGGGCGCGCGGTGGGGGGAGACTTGCCTATTCTCTTTTCTGATAATCAGCAGAGACAATGTTTGACAAGAGGCTGATGAGGTCACTGCAGTAAATATTTTGCCTCTCGCAGAGCCAATCATCACTGAGGGATCCCCTGAATTTAAAGTCCTGGAGGACGGATGGACTGCAGTCTCCCTGGACAATCAAAGGTGGTTTGTTTCCTGCCCTACTGCTTTCAAACTGTGCGGGAAGGGGAGACCGCCCCGACGGCGCGGGCGGACCCCTGCTGACCGCCGCCCCGTGTGTTTCAGGTCCGCCCAGTTCGAGCACACGGTGCTCATCACGTCGCGGGGCGCACAGGTCCTCACCAAACTGCCCCACGAGGCCTGAGGCGCAGCCCGCGGGGCGCAGAGGACAGGCGCCCCTCTCTGCCTTCAGCTAGAACTCAGATGAGGAGTAGAGCACCGGCGGCCCGCGCCGCCACCGACCCGGCACCCCGCGGCGTCCTGCTGAAACTCGGTGGCGACCGGCAGCCTCCGGGGACTCAGCCCACCAGCCCCGCAGGGTCTGGGCTTGCGGAACGGAGACGCTGCACCCCAGGCTCGGCTCCCCCGCGCGGCAAACGCCTCTGGAGGGGGAATGGGGACTCTCCTTTGGGAGACCGGGGTCTCAGGGGGAAGCATTTTTCCTTTTCTGCCGAGTAAAAGCCCTTTTAAACACGTGTGTCTGCGAGCCTTACATCTCTGAGTTACAAGGGGGAGAGGGTCGGTGGGTAGTTTGGGGGTCTCATAACTTTTACACGCTATTAGAAAGAAAAAACCCGAACCTGACCGTTAGCTGAGAATTCTTGTAAAGGCTTTTTTTTTCCTCCTCGAGCGTCTCACATTGGCGACCCCGAGGGTGCAGCCAGAGGCCAGCACCTGCTCCCAACTCCTGGCCCTTCCCTTCATTCCCCTTCATCGGGGTTTTGTGGTGAAAAGATCATCCCGCAAACGGACCGAGGCTTCCGTTACAAACATTTACTTGGCTGTGGGCCTGGCTCTTCATAGCTTTTACCAATCCAGAAACGTGACTTTCCTGGCGGGCACAACCGGTCCTTCAGGGCCTGCGCCCAGCCCTAGGAGCCATCCCAGAGGTCAAGTGTGAGAACCTCCTCCCCTCGGTCTCAGTCCCACTATGCACAAGCCAGACCGTTTGTTGAGTTAGGAATTCAAGCCCCGGTCGCCTTCGCCCAGATGGGACCTCTCAGAGGGGCTGCCGTGTCCCTAAATGGAGCCCTCCCCAGAATGACCCTCTCCAGACTGCTTGAGCCCTGCAGGGGCAGTGGAGGTCAGGCATTCTGGAGGCACCCCCCCCCCCCAATCTCAGCAAGGGGAGATAGAACCACCTTTGAGAGCAAGAGCCTGGGTGCCTGGAGGAGTTAACTCGGCAGCTCCCACCTGCGTGAGGAGCAGGACTCCAAAGGGCGGCACCCTGTATCTCCCAAGGCCCCTTCCTGCCTGGAGCACCCTCCCTTGTGCTTGCTCCCCAGGACCTGGTCACACGGGCACCAGAGTTGGGAGGGACTGGGCCTCTAGCAGTCCAGGAGGGAAGATGTCCCCTTCTGGTTTTAGTTCAGAAACAAGTCCAGTGACAGTGCCTGAGCAGCCAGCAGTTGTCCCAACTCCTATTTGCCACCAAGAGGGGTTTTGCAGAGTCGTCATCTGCCCAGTATAGCTTGAGTGGTCATCAAGGAAATGTAACCACCTAGAGATGCCAGGGCAGATGACATCTGTTGGGTCACCTGCCTGTGTAAAGAGTTGGGAAATGGAGGACAATGAGCTGGCATGAGAAAGTGGTAAATTCCCACTTTTCCCTGAAGTCAGGATTCTCTGAGTTGTCCACCAACCCCTTTTGCTCAGTTTCTCTGTGTCTAGGGATGTAGGTTTTTGGATAGAAGTGATTCTGATGCTAATGGGTCTGAAAGCTGGAAAAGAGGGGAGAGGTTAAGGATTTACAATATCCATGAAAAAATATTTTTATGTGCTCTGGAGTTGGCCACGCAGGGCGAAGCGGCTGAGGCTGCTGTCTGGGAGCAAGCAGATCCCCTAGAGAGGCCTCGGGAGATATGTGCGGGAGAATGACTTCACTTCTCTCCCAGAGCAATCCCCTTGCAACCATTAGCCTGGTATCTTATCTGGAGATCAGCTTACTGCAGAGTTCCCGGAGGATAGCTTTACTAGGACCACAAAAGCTCACCAACCGCCGGGTAACACGCTGCTTGTGCAGCAGTTATTTCGAGGTGGAGGTATTTATGGGATGAGTTTACAATTCCATTTATGTAAGTGACTAACCTGAGGTCATATATATATATATATATATGTTATCTAGATAGCGAGAGACACATCTGCCGATAATCAGCAGCTCTGTCGGAAACAAACTTGATTTAGAACAAACTCCGTTTAACTTGCTTTGAAGTTGAGATTAGAAGGATTTTTTAAAAATACCTCCTCTATGCCTCCCCAACCTTCTGTGTGCTGAACTGGCCCATAACTTCGCCCAGAGCCACAGAGATTCCAGCCAGTTCTAGGTCTGGCTGCTGCCACCAGAACCACCGATCCCAGGACTCCAGTAAGTTCTACTCGGAGTCCGGCGCCCTCAGGATAAACAGCAGATCGTTTTGGTCTCCTCTGACTTTGGGCAGGCAAAGGTTTCAGCAAACCGGCGTTTCAGAACAGGTGTCACCTTAGCGGTGGGGGTGGGGTGAGGTCGGAATCCCCTGGGCTCGCCCAGGGGAGAGGATTCGTCGCTGAGAAGTGGGTTAGGGCCCGGAGGCTCAGTGCCCGAGGGGCCCCTGCTCAGCGCCCCTCCCCAGACCTGCTTCTCCCGGCTAAGAAATAATTCCAGAGTGTAGACACTCCCTCGCTTACACACAGTTCACTTCTAAATTCAGCAAGGTTCTAAAGCCACATCCCGCGGGGACGCGTGCCGGACTTTAGCTCGCAGGAGCCAGCCAGGTGCCCTGCTCCGCAAATGTCTTCCACTCCAGACGCGGAGGGGACGGCGTGCCCAAGGGGCTGTGGAGACACGCGGCCCTCTCTCCCCGGCTCTCCCACCCTGCGATCCTCTAAGCCGGCTCTAAGCTGCCCCAGCCGTCGGGTGTCCTCACGCCTCTCCCTGAGCTCCAGGAGTCAGCAACCCAACTTTCCCCACTCCCCAATCCCGATCCGCTGCCCGCCGCGGCGATCACTTACGTGCGCAGGGCCCGCAAGGCGCGCGCGGGAGACCCGGGGCCCGAGTGGCATCCGAGCGGCTGTGCTGGGGGCATTGCACCGCGCTCCACACCCCAAAACAGGCGCTGGGAAGGAGCAATTAAAGCCACCAGCGCGCTACGGAGATCAGGACGAGCCGGGAGGCTCCGGGGAGGTGTCTGGTGGCAGAGTCATTAGCTGGTTGTTGCTACAAAGCCTCACCGTGTGGTTCGGTGATTAAGAAAAAAAAAAATCTTTTAAACGTTGGCAAACCCGTTATTGGTTTAGAGGTTTGGCTTTTTTTTTTTTTTTTTTTGCTTTTGTTTTTCTTTTTTCTCCAACCACGCTGCCTGAAATATTTCTGCCCCCGGCATCATTCCCTTACCGAGGAAGAGGAGAAATTCCGCGGGCTGCAGCAGCTGCTTGCAGAAGTTAAAGGAGAGAGAAACTCCCTCCACTAATATCTGTAACGACAGCACCGATGTAATTTGTTTTGAATGTTCGTTTTTATTGGTGTTCCCTTTGCCAAAATGTGCTTGATTACAGAGGTTTGTCCCGTGATCATTGCACACTCCAGAGAGGGGAAGGTGCATCGGCGAGGGTTCAGCTCAGGCCAGATCAAATCCCGGGCTGTTTAACGCTCAAAGTCTGCATGTTGCTATTAGTGTTAAATATATGGCTAATTATGCGTATGAAAATTAAACATCAGTGTTATGCTAATGGGGCGCCTTCAGCTGCGGATCTGAGCACTTGAGACTACCATTTAATCAAATGAATCAGTAACTAATACATCTGCACGTGTGAACTTTCACAAGATCATTTCCCCGTTCCCGGCACACCGCTAAATTATGAAAGAAATAATTATCAACACTTTCTAATTACCTAACAAAGTAATTTGGGATTCACCGTGGGGCTGGCGGGATGGGGAACCAACAGCCCCTAGTAACCAGCATGGTTCACGCCACGCCGCGTGGGGGTGGCCGGGCGGCGGTAGGGGCTGGCGGAGGGGGGCTTTCGTGAGCTTTTCTGCACCTAATACCCCCAGAAAGTAGAAGGCGCCGTGGCCTTGCTCCTGCCTCCACCAGCCCTGGCCCCCAGACCAGCGGCGCCAACTCTGGCCCCCGGAGGTGAGGAAGATCTTGGGCGACAAAGAGAGCGACGTGTCTGCACATAGAGATATTGGAGCCTACCACAGGCCTGGGTTTGCTGCGGGTTTCAGTGTCTCCCAGGGACTCCTGAACCCGGGGTGCTCTCTCCAGACCCCCAGGAGGCCGCAAAATACCCGCCTGGCGTCAGCGGCCGGAGCAGAGCAGAGCCCGCGGCTCTTGGGCTCCACGCTGCGCCGCGCCCTCGGGGCGAGTGAGCCCGGGGCGCACAGCGCGAAGAGAGTGGGGAGGGGAGGGGGAGGCGGAGGAAGGTGGGGAGGGAAAGAGGGTGTGCGTTGGGGGAGGGGGCGGTGCAGCCGCCTTTCCTGGGAGGAGAAGCGCGGGTTCCTGGCTCTCCACGCGCACTGCTTTAATCAGACCCGTGCAGCCTCGAGCTGGAGTGGCCAGCTGGGCCTGGAGCAATGCGAGCGGGCCCCAGGGAGCGGCGGCGGCGGCGGCGCGGCGGCCCAGTGAGTGAGTCCGCCCGGAGGGCCCCCAGACCCCGACCCCAGGGATGTGGCCGCGCGCACGGCCCCAGGCCAGGGAGGCGCGGCCGTGAGGGCGCCGCGCCGGACACGGGACTCTGGGGACGATTGCTGTCTGCAGGCCGCCTCGGGCGCCCCCCAGTGCGCGCCTGTGCTCTCAGGAGGCGACGGGCAGGCTGCAGAGCCTCCCTAGCTCGGCGCGGGACTGGGTGGCGGCGTGGAGAAGCGGTCCCGGGCCCCCAGAGTGTAGGGCAGGCGAAGGGTGTGGACAGTAAGGGGGAGGACGGCGGCGTGGAGCTGCTGGTTGGTTTCTGGGGAGGAAAGCGAGCGAGGGAGGCGGGAGGCCGAGACGACGGAGGTCCCAGCCGCGGATGCCTCAGCCCATTGTGCGCCCTGCACGGCGTGCTCTGTTGCAGAGGAGCCCCGGCCGGGAAGTGTGGACGCATCTCTCCCGAGGCCCGGCCGCCTCTCCCGCTCTAGTCCGGCGGAGCCGGAGCTCCTCGGGCCAATCCCCGGTGATTATGCAAGACGGCGGACCAATCAGCTCCGGCAGCTCATGAATATTTATGACCTTGGCTGAGTCAAAGCTTTGAACCGAGTTTGGGGAGCTCGGCAGGATCATGCTTAGACTTTTCAAAGAGACAAACTCCATTTTCTTATGAATGGAAAGTGAAAACCCCTGTTCCTCTTAAATTGGGTTCCTTCCTGTCCTGAGAAACGTAGAGACCCCCAAAAGGGAAGCAGAGGAGAGAAAGACCCACACCCAGACCCCGCGAGAAGAGATGACCATGACCACCATGCCAGAAAGTCTCAACAGCCCCGTGTCGGGCAAGGCGGTCTTTATGGAGTTTGGGCCGCCCAACCAGCAGATGTCTCCTTCTCCCATGTCCCACGGGCACTACTCCATGCACTGTTTACACTCGGCGGGCCACTCGCAGCCCGACGGCGCCTACAGCTCGGCCTCGTCCTTCTCCCGACCGCTGGGCTACCCCTACGTCAACTCGGTCAGCAGCCACGCGTCCAGCCCCTACATCAGTTCGGTGCAGTCTTACCCCGGCAGCGCCAGCCTCGCCCAGAGCCGCCTGGAGGACCCAGGTACGTGCGCTTGCCTGGGAGAGGGAGAGAAGGGGAGGGGAGTGCAGAGAGGGAAGAGGAGAGGAGGGGAGAGCGCGAGGTGGGGTGGGGGTGGGGAGGGCGCTGGAGCCATGGAGGTTTCGGATGTCAACCTCTGCATCCTTGTCATAGCAAAGAGATTAAAAAAAAATTCACCCAATTCGCAACGAATGCAGCAAACAGTGAATCCGAGACGTCTCCCCTCCCAGCGCTGTCTGCGCTTCTGGGCGGCTCGGTGCGCCGAGCACTCAGTGCCCTGCTGGAAAACAGAAGCCCACATGCACACGTATTCGTCTCGGTAATTATTTATTGCGTAGCGCTATAAACAATGTATGCAATTAAGGGTAATTAAACCTCAACTACCGCTTGCAAAAATAGCAAACTTTCCCTGCAAAGGCAGTAGCTGCGCTCCTGGGAACGGCCCCAGCCCGCCTGCGGCGGCCCGGGACAGGCCCTCGGACTTCGGGGACCCTTCCCTGGCCTTCACGCTTCTTTGAACGTCTACCTCCCGGCCCTGCCTTGGCCAGCCCCACCTTGGTAGCCGCTCGCTCCTGGCTCTCGGTGCTAGAGGCAGCCCCTCCGCATAACCTGGGCCCTGGCTCTGCTGTCCCTGCAGGGGCCGACTCGGAGAAGAGCACGGTGGTGGAAGGCGGAGAAGTGCGCTTCAATGGCAAGGGGAAAAAGATCCGCAAACCCAGGACGATTTACTCCAGTTTGCAGTTGCAGGCTTTGAACCGGAGGTTCCAGCAAACTCAGTACCTGGCTCTGCCCGAGAGGGCGGAGCTCGCCGCCTCCTTGGGACTCACGCAAACACAGGTACCTGGCCCCTGCCGCCGGGCCCAGCTGGCTTCCCGCCGCTGGCCGGCGACCGCCCGGGGCTCTGTTTGGTATTCGCTGGGCCTCAGGGCCGGGGTGTCACTGTGTATGTGTGTGTGTCCCTCCGTGTGTGTCCACCCTTCCTCCCGCGTTCTCTCTGCCCGAGCCCCGCTGCCAACGGCCCCCTGTTTGCCCCACCTGCCTGCCTCCTGGCCCCCTGTCCCTAGACAATCTGATTAGGGCGCAAGAAGGCTTTCCCCAGACGTTTTGTTTGGGGACTCTGAGGTCACACGTGCCCGAGCAACTGGAACAATAGCAGCGGGGCTTAATCCCCCCTTTGCCTTTAAAGTGTGTGGCCAATCACTCAGGGCCTGGGCCCGCGCCTCTGACTCCCTCCTCCTCCTCCTCCCTCCTCCTCCCGGAATGGCTCCAGGGGTGGAGGGATCCCTGGTTCCTTCTCCTCCTCACCTAGGGTCCCAAACCCTAGGAGTAAAGTGGGACTTTGATTCCCGGATTTCTTTAAGTCTCTGGGAGAATCCATAGACGTTATGATAGCTTCTGGCACGGCTTTACAACGTCCGGCCCGGGTTTGGGAGCAGAGCAGGGCAAAGCACACAGACCTTAGGGAAAGATCTACTTGAGGCCAAAGAAAAGTTCATTTGAATCTCGCAGCCTCCTCTGTCAGCCCCCAACTCACTTAGGCGTAGAAAGGACAGCACAACAAGAAGATGGTCGAATTGCAAATAAATTTCCTCCACTCCATCCTAGGTTTGATTCTTTTATTGGTGTTGATAGAGGAATTGCTGGTTGGTGCTGTGCAGGTGCTATGACTCCTGCAGCCGGGGTAGCCTGGGTGGGACGGCCTGGAAGCCCCGCAGGCCCCTTGCCACCACGCCCCCTGGCTCTCCGTGAGGCCAGTGGCCCGGCTTCAGCACCCTTGGCTCACGTGGAGGGAGGGTGATCTCTGCTTCTCTGGCCGAAACTGAGCAGCCTGCGCAGGGTGACCGACCCGCGGTCCCATTCACTGCTGCCGCGCGACTTAGGTAGGCGCAGCGTGCCCAGCCCAAGTCACATTGTCCATTCTCGTAGGTCAAGATCTGGTTCCAGAACAAGCGCTCCAAGTTCAAGAAGCTGATGAAGCAGGGCGGGGCAGCTTTGGAGAGCAGCGCGCTGGCCAACGGCCGGGCGCTGTCTGCCGGCTCTCCGCCCGTACCGCCCGGCTGGAACCCTAACTCCTCATCCGGGAAGGGCTCGGGCGGCAGCGCGGGCTCCTACATCCCCAGCTACACGTCGTGGTACCCCTCGGCACACCAAGAAGCCATGCAGCAGCCCCAGCTCATGTGAGCCTGCCCGCCTGCGCCCGCCCGCCTCCCTCTCGTCTCCTCCGGCCTGGGCCCCTCCCGCCTCCAGGTCGGTCCACCCTCGTCCACGCGTGCCCTGTGCCTGGAGGAGAAGGGCCTCAGAGAGAAAAGAAGGAACAAAGAAGGCAGAGCGGCCGCCGCCGCCTCGGAGCCCCCGCGGTGCAGCCCAGCGACTCCCCAGAGCCCGTGCGCTTCCGCCCGAACCCCGGACATGGGCCTCACGCGGACGGCCGCGAGTGGCCTCGGAGCGCAAGCTCAGCCACCGAGAGACGCAAGACAGACCTGCTGGACCCGACCCGCCGACCCTCAGCTTCGCGGGACCGTCAGGAAAAAGGAAACAACAAAAACATCACAATGTAGAAACAGCAAACGCTCTTTTCTGTCCTGTGTCATCTCCTCTCGCTGTCTGTGCGCCGACGACGTCCAGGTCCTCGCCAGTCCGCTGTCCCGGTTCTGCGGCCTCTGCAGTCGGTGGATCCACGCGGCACGCCGTCTGCCTGGCCGCCCGCCTCCGGATTCTGGCACGTTTTGTCCTCTCGGGCCTTCTCCTAGGCCCCGCCTGGCCACCTGTGTAGCTTGTTTGGGAACTGGGGGAAACTGGAGGGAGGGGGTTTTATTTATTGAGAAATGGACTCCGCCTGAGGCTGACGGGCAATTCGCGGTTCCGGGGCGCCCGCGGAGCGCGCTGTCCAGACGCACTGTTTACTTGAAACGCACCCAGAAACAACGAACAAAGAAGGCGTGATTTTTAACTTATACAGTAACTTTTGTACTTTGCGGGTATGGAGAGGTTGGAGCCAGATAATTTGCGTTTTCTACATGTCCCATATTATTAAAGACTAAAAAAAAAAAAAATCAGTGAAGCCAACGTAATTTTGTCATCTCCGGAGAAAGCTTCCTCGCTTTGCCTGGACGAGAAGGAAAACCCTGATTTCTTTCTTGGGTGGAAAGAGAGCGAGAGCGAGGGACCGCTGGGCAGCTGCGAGAAGCAGGCAGGTGTAAGCCCCAGAGAGCTTTAAGTACCAACGGCGGCTTCACCAGCTCCCGAGGCGAATGCAGCCTCCATGCGAGATCTAAGTGCTGTACATATCGTTGTTATTATTATTGTTATTGTTCGGTAAACGTTGCACAAGCTTAGCCTTTTTCTGTTCTGTTTGTGTGTGGCTTTAAAACCCGAGGCTTTGTGAAATGAGAATCTTGACATTTTACTTGTGAAATTTGGGAAATGTGATCAATTCAAATCAACCGTGTTCTGTGTTCTCTATGTCAAAGTTTAGTTTTATATTGAGAATGTTAACTTATTGCTTTGTATCTTAAAAAAAAAAAACAAAGAACTTTGTAAATAAGTTATAAAGTTTCTTTGAGACAGTAAAATTATGGTTTCGAGAAAGAACTGCTGTCTCGCGTGCTGTGTAAAGGAGGTCAGGCCCTGTCTTGGGGTACAGGGAGCGCAAGGGACAGCTACTAATCCTGGACAGAAGTGCCCCCCCCAGACCGGTGAGGCGCCCCCTGCGCCTCATCCCCCATCCTCAAAGTGTCTAGCCCCCACACGCGTTAGAGGGACGGGCAAGGGCGCTTGAGAACAGGTGCGGCAGGATGGATCCGGGGCTTGGGGACGCAATCGACGGCGAGGATCAGCTCAGAGACCCAGGCAGAGTTCAGAGGCCGCCGGCCTAGGAGATTCAGTGTTCACCCCGTTCTCTGGTGGGCTGGGAGTGGGGACCCTGCTTTGCCCCTAGCCTCCATCGGGACCTGGCCTCCCAGCCCGTGCCTGCCCGGAGGCCCTGCCTCGGTCGAGGGAAAGATGCAACTAGACGCGCGGCAGGGGCCGGAAGGACACGTCTGTCAGGCTACCCCTCCATCAATCCGCGCGCTCCGGGGGGCAGTGGCACCGTGGCACCGTGGCACCGTGGCACCGTGGCAGGGAGCCACCCGGGCCCCTCCACAGCGAAGAAGCCCGTTCCACCTGAGGATCGAGGCCTTTCGCCGAAAAGGAGATGCCCAGGAAGGGGCAGGTGGGCTCGGCTGACTTGCTGGAACCCCAGAGCCGGCTAGAGTCAAATACACCGACGCCCCCGCGTCCCCAAGTCCGAAAGCCAAACCATCACGCCGGGAACCGCCGGTGCAGCGCTCGGATCACTCAGCTCCCGAGGAACGCACGCTAGGTCGGCCCCCTCGTCCCCGCCCGCCGCCCGGTGGCCCCGCGCCCCAGGCCAACCCCGACCCCGACCCCAGGCCCCGCAGCTGAGGAGAGGCAGCTGAGGAGAGCCGTGTGCCCAGACAACCTCTCTGAACGCTTCCTGCCCCGTGCTCCGCCCGCCGACCTCTCAGGCCCGCCGCCTTTGGGGGCCCTTTCCGGCGCGCGGTGGGGAGCAGAGCGCGGAAGGCGGTGATCTGTATTGTGACAAGCACCCATTTTTCAATTGGTGCTGGTGAAAGATCAGATGCGCGGGGCTCTTCCGACGCCCTTCGCGAAGGAGGGGGGAGGAAGTGGCGGGGCTGGGTCGGGGTGGGCGCGTGAGGGAGGAAGCCGGGGAGTCCGTGGGGGGTGAAGCTCGGGGGACCTCGAGGCCCCCTTTGCGCCTGGAATCGGTATTTTACCTCTCCCGGCGGCCCCCGGAATCAAGAGCCCTGAAGGGGAGCGCAGACCTCTGGGACCGAGGTGTGGGCTGCTGGACCGAACTCCACGCCGCGGCAGGGAACCCACTGCCCAGATCTGGCTCTCGCCTGGGGCGGGTGCCTTCTCGCGTTCGGTTTCTTCTGGGAGACGAGATTCTGCTAGCGGCGAGATTTCCCGCGCGCATCCGACTCGGGTCCCCCGGACCACCGCCAGGGCCCAGCGCCTCAAGCCACAGGCAAAATCTGTTTGGTCAAGCGGCTTGGAATACTTTGAGATATTAGTTTATACTAATTTAATAATCTCTTGCTAACAGTTCAAATAGAGAAATTATTAGTTTTAGCTCAACGAAGGCGGTCTTTAGTTAGGCTGTATTATAATTATAAGAGGTTGTACTTTTTAAAAAATGTTAATCTCAATATAGGCCTAATTAATGCTGCCTTGTTACTGACAAGTAGTTCATCAAATATCTGATTCAAAGATTTTCATAATGAGTATATTAATTAAACTATGAATAATCTAAAGGTGGTTATATTTAAACAATACCTCATTATAATGATTAAATACTGATTTCGAATATTATGTCTTAACAATTGTCACTTAGAAAACACAACCTTTCCTTATGTATGAGTCTGGGATGGCAAAATGCAATTTTGGGATTTTTTTCCCCTTGTTCAAAAAATGTGAACCTCATTTTAAAACACTTCTGAAATAGGTTACACACAGCTTAATGATTATCAAAATGACTCTTTTCTGCAAAAAAAAGACCCCAAAGTGCGCGTACAGCTGCAAACCCAAGAGGGTCAGCATCATTTCACTGTATTCTCTTCTTGATTACAAGCCGGGCCCATCAAACACAACATAATTACAGTAATTTCAGGTTTATTTATTCTAATGCAGTTTCCCCATCTCTCTGGTAATTATGAGCAATTTTTTCGCCCAGGGAATCTTTTTGCATTAACAAAAGAGATAACGCACTGAAAGCCAAATTTGCTGTGCATTGAGAAAAGGAAAAAAAAATCAAATAGGTGCGAGCTGCCATCTCTGCAATTCTCCGGTACGGGAGCGGCAAATTGCTTGCAGGTGTATGGAGCAAGCTTGTCAATGGCCGGGCCTCCAAATTAGCAAATGCACAGCAGAGAAGTAACGAAGACAGACTTCGCAAAATGGCCAAACAACAGATACCTCTTTAATATCTTCTCACACACAACTAGCTCTAAAAGGGAGTGGAGGTGGGGGTGGGAACCAGGCCTCTCCTGTCTTGGCTTTCCTGAGCCTGGAGCAGCTGGGCAGCCCTGTGAGGGGTCATCTCACAGTGGAAGAGCCCAGATCCTAAATCTAGGTAATATATTTTTTAAAAGGATGCAAAATTAGAAATATTTATCATTCGCAGCTTTCCCTCACTGAGCATGATAAATCCATCTGTATGTCTTTCTTCTGGAATCTGCACACAGGTTGGGGGAGGTGGTTCTTCAGCCTGCCCCATCCTGTACTAGTTCTAAGAGCCACAGAAAGTTTTAAAATACTCCTCCCCATCCATACCCACAGGCTGCTGTGTGCAGATGTGGGACTTTGTTTACAGAGAATCCTTTGGTGTGGAAGCCACCTAAAGCGTTTCTTCCTGAGAGCAGACTGTCCATTTCAGTCACCCAAGAAAGGTAGGTGGGAGTGCCGATGTAGAAGCTGGGATGCTAGAGCGAAGAGAATCAGAAGCCAAGAAGCAGCTCAGCCTCCACCCCACCCCACCCCTGCCCCAGCTCTGAGTCTTTATCCTAGGATCTCTTTCTGTATCTTTTCATAAACCAATTGCACAATTCTCTGATTTTTGTCATGCCACAGCCTGGGTAAGACACCCCTGAAATCATAGACTAAAGCAAACTTTTCGGCTCTTTTGCTCCCGGGGGCCTTAGAACCGCCTTCGAATGCAGGACAAAGGTAAGGGTCTCCCTGCCATGCCTCCAAAGAAATCCTCTGCCTACCCTAGCTCCAGCACAAGCTCAGACTCCAGTGTAGACAGGCAAACGGCTCTCACAGGAGCTTTCTCCAGCCTCCAGAAACCTGTCACCCCCACCCACCGCTCCCCTACCCCCTCCTTCATCCCCCAATCTTCAGGGATTAACACTTCCTGAAACATCAAGTGTTTTTATAAAAAGGAAAAAAAATAATCCTGACATCGCTGACAAGAAGTTTTGATGGAAGAATTAGCTGGTGCATACATAATCACTCCCCCACCCTCCTACTCCCGGCGCGGGAGCCGCTGCGGCGGGCGCAGCGCGCAGCCTTCCAACCCTCTGAAAAACGAAACCGGCTTCCACCCTTACCTTCTTCAGTGTCAATTTCAGATAATCTGGACACACACTCTTTGCTACATCAAATCAAAAGGATCGAAGGCAGCTTTTGGCTGGGAAAAGGACGGGAAAGAAAAGGCAAAAAAAGGAAAAAATAATAAAGGGAAAAAAGGGGAGGGAAAAAAGGAAAAACAGGAAAATATGAAACCGGCCAAACCAGAGCAAAACAAAACCAGGAAACCAAAAAGAACCCCCTGGCCCCATCCTCCTATCCTGGGAGTAGAGAGTGGAAAGAGGTCCCCAGGAGCAGGCGACTCCGAGCGCCGCAGGCTTTTTTGCAGCGCTGCTTGCCGAATAGCACTGAAATTTTCGGCTATATAGCCTCTGTCTTTATAGCTGATGAAAAAAATTGCAGATTATTAGCATAAATGTTTACTCTTCATTACGCTGATGACATTGTGCACTCGAGATCTTGGTAATCTTTGGGAAAATTATGAGTAATTTTTAAAAATTTTAAAGCAGCAGCAGTTACCATGCAATTCAGGCTAATTCTGCGTAGGCTCCGAACGGATATAATTATCGAGGAGTCAAGATGTTATGCTAAAAACTATGCATTGATATTCCCATTTATTATGTACATACAACTTTGACAATGTTGATGCTTGAAATAGCAGGAAATTGTCTTGCGCAAAAATTACAGTCCATATTAGGACATCTGAAATTGCGAAGAATTATATAGTAATTGCAGGCTTTCAGATGGGAGAGCCAGAATGCTCAAACTAGTGCAAATGTGGATAAAATTACAGATCAGAGCAAAAATTAGGGAAAAAGGGGGTCTGGGATTTTTCAGGTTGGCTATAGGATTCCGGAAGTGTCTAATGCCACATGATTGCTGCAGCTTTAGGGGAGACGTTCATGCCTCCAATAGCGCCTTGGCCAGGGTGCTTTAATTGAATTCCTTGGGCTTTTTGTTTTAATAGGAGCAAATGAGGAAATTGGCCACCCAAGGCAAATTCTCACTGTCCTCCCAGTGAAGGTGTCGGGGAGACCATCCCGTTTACCCCTGCTCCAGGCCTCTGGGGGTTTGGACCTCCGGGAGGCCCCAACCCCCCCCAACCCCCAAACGCGGCAACTGAGAAAGGAAGTGACTGTACAGGATTCCCCCTCCGGACACCTCCTTCTTTCTCTCTCTCTCTCTACTTGTCCTCTGCTCCCTCCTTCAGCCCCTTTCCCGTATTCTTGCAATCCTCCTCCAGAATCCGGCCAGGCTGGGACGGCGCAGTGAAGGTGCGGGCTGCGGGGCCGGCCGACTGCGGTTGTCAGTGCCAGGTGGCGAGCCCCCCGGGAGAGCGCGCCCGCGGCCGCCGACTACAGCCCGCTACTTGGGTGGGGGCATGACAATGAAAGGAACTGAGGGTCCCCCGGGCCTGCCCTGCGCCTGCCTGGACCCTTCTTTTGTCTCCACTGTCCCGAGACCGAGGGCCCCTCCGCCCCCAGCACTCTGCCCACTTGGGCGGCGCTTGTCTCGGGCACTGAGACACCCTGCGACTTTAAGAAGCCGAGGCCAGGCAGTTGAGGGAGGGGCGGGGCGGGCGCTGCCCTTGAGCCGAGGGGAGGCGGCGGCGCCGGGCACCCGACGCCACCGCCCGCGCGGCCCCCAGGAGCGGCCGGGACTCAGTCGCACTCTTCGGCCACAGCTCCCCACGGTCCCGGGGGCGAAGATTTCCCCTTTGGGGAGTCGAAGACTCCTAGACCACAGTCGGGAGGGGCGGGGCGGGAGCGGAAAGCCCGCCATGTTAGCGCCGTGCGGGCCCAAGTCAGCCCCCTGGGATCACCGAGCGCGCTCCGAGCCGGGGCTCTTTGCATGCCTCGTTCTCTTCTGCCCCTTAGTTGTAATCCTGTCTCTGCCCGGCGCCCCGGCCCAGTCTGTGGACCCATTCTCCTCCTTCCCGGGCTCCACGCTCAACCCTCGGCCCCCAGCTCCTAGAGCGGAGGCGCGACCCGACCCGGGACGCAGCGGGTGGCACCGAGAGTTCTGGGCACCTCCAAACGGGCCCCTGGAGCGACCCAGGAACGCGGCCACGCAGCCCGCAAACTCTACGACCCCGTCGGTCTGCGCCTGGCCGGGTAGAGAGAGCGGGAGGCTGGTGCTGCCAGGGGGTGTTAGGAGGTCTGTCTGCAGACTGGATCTGGGCTCTCACGCCGAGGCGCCGCGCCGCTGCTCCTCCAAGACCCGCCTGCTCTCTCTGAAACAGAGCGTCTCCCCCGCCCCTCCCAGCCCCAGGCCCCGGGGCGGAATGTAACATCTTGTAATGTGGCAATCACTGCCAAGCCGGTCCCAGGGAGGGAACTCCCGCGGGGGGGGGGATTGGGGGGACGGGTGAGGGGCCTCTGCATCCGCTTGCAGTGGTGGGGGGGGGGGAGGGGGCGTTTTGCCCAGCAGATGCCTGGTGGGGAGGAAAGGACGACCAGAGAGGGGAGAAGATGCCCCGGGATTGTTTTGAGTGTCCGAACCCTATGAAAAATCCCCAGTGATCTCCGGCGCCTAGGGAGTGTGCGAAAAGCGGCCTCCAGGATAGCTCCCCACCTAACCGCTTGCAGGACTCTGGGCCTCAAGGTCTAATTAAAAGGAACGTGTCTTTATTTTAGGAAAAGATCTGTAGCTTTATTCTCAAAGGAGTCTCTGACCCTGAAACAGGTTAAAGCCACTGGTGGTCGCTGTTCCCTGGAGGGAAAGAAGCCGGTGTGTGACTTTTGAGCGAGTGCCGGGGGGGGGGGGGGGGGGCGCCCGGAGTCGGGGAGCTGCGTCCACTTAGTGTCCGTCAGAAGGACTTTTTGGAAGGCAAGGCTCCAGGACGCCGCTGGGGGTTGGCGGGCCCCTAACCGCTGAGGGAATCATCTGTTCCCTCTGCCGCTCGCCCTCCGAGCCTCCCAAGACAGAAGTGTTTGTGCACAAAGCTCTCCGCCCCCACTAAACCTGATACTTCCCTAAAGTCGCCCCAGCAGCCTCGGAAATCCTTACACAGGACGGATATTCACAATTTTCACCAGTGATCCTGAAAGCAGGCCGAGGGGGAAGCGTCCTAAACGGTCCCATATTGCATGCGGCAGGGCTGATTAGGCCCGGGATCCGTTCCCTCTCTTTTCTGCCCTCCACAACCCGGAGCCCGCGGGCCAGGCGACGGGAATCCGAGCCTAGCACCGCGCCTGGCCGGGTGCGGCGTGGCAGGCGAAGGCCTCGCGCGCGGGACTGGGGGCCAGGGGCCGTGAAGCGGCGCAGAGGGCCAGGGCGGCCAGGTGGCCCCGCAGAGCGGGCGCTTAGCCCCGGTGCGGAGAGCCCCGCCAGAGGGTGGAGCGGAGAGAGCCGGGCACCTTTCTCTCTTCGGCTTCCCTCCCCCACTGCTTCCCAGCGCTTGTCATATCCTGTCTCCAGCCCGATATTTTACTGGAGCAAATGGAAGGGAATTACAATGAAGATTTATGTGTGTTCCGAGCGCGGCTGGTTTCCCAGCGTAGGGAGCCGAGATCGCGGCTTCCCATTTCCATTTTTCATTCGCGCTTTGGGGGAGCGCAGTGGGGCGCGGGGGGAGAGGGTCTGCGCGGCGGCGGGCTGATCACAAGGCTCCGCGTCTCCGGGCGGGCGGGGAGGCTGTGAGAACGGCTGCCAGCGCGTTGCCCCCGGCGGGGCTGGAGCCGGCCCCCGCCTCCGCGAGCCGCGCTTTGTCTCTCCTCTCGCCCACCCCTCCCCCTCCCCGCCCCCTCGCTTCTGGGACGCGGGCGCGTCTCCGCGATCCCTTCTCTTTGCCCTTCTCCTTGTCTGCGGAAACGCCCCCTTCCCCTGGCCCCTGCAACCCGCCTGCCCTCGGCTTTGCGGGCTCCCCGAGGGAAGGAGCGCCGTGGCCCGGCCCGACCCCGCCGCCGCCGGGTGCCAGGTTCGGTGACTCCGGCGAGTCTGTGGGGCCTCGGCCCACCCCGGAGCTGGGGCCGCCCGCCCTCCTGGCTCCCAGGCTCTGCTCATGCCAAGGCCTGTTGCGTGATTCCAACTTAGGCTGACATTCCCTGCCCCGGGCGCTCCGGCGTAGGCCTCTTAATCATCTTGTCTGCTGCAGATCCTCGACACCAGCCAATTTACTGCCCCGTCTCTCCCCGCTGGTTTCGGGCGGGAGGAGGGGAGTGCGCGCGAGGGAGGGGAGGGCACAAGTGAACGCAGGAGGAAGGCTGGCATCCGCTTCTGGCACTCCAGAAAAAAAAAAAAACATGGAATTTTGAGATGGGGTGGTGGGAGTAGGGGGACTTGGTGGGGGGCTGTCAGGCGGCGGTTGCTTAGCGAAGCCCAGAAGAGTGGGTCATCGGGCTGCAGCCCAGGCCTCGCTAGCCCGGGAAAACAATGCAGAGTTGCCAAGGGACACTGGACTGGCGCGACCCCTCGCCTTTTCCATAGCCCCAACGCCCTGGACCCTATTCTGTTGTAAACCAGACTCGGTCCAGCAGTCCCCGCCCCAAAACAATCAGAAAACTCAGGTTGATGCAGAGTCCAGACACACCTCCACCTCGTGTCTCTGGTAGAAGTAAATTGAAGACATTGGATGGCCTGCATAAGCCTCCGGGAGCAGAGGTGGCCTGCAGTCCGAGAGCCGGTGCCGGCTTCTGTGTCCTGTGGTCAATTTCCTCTCCAGCAGAGGTGGGTCTCTTCTGAGGGAATGGCGGGGCTTCCAGCCTCGGGTGAAGGAAGGTGGGAGAGCTCTTCTGGCCAAAGGATGCTGCTCTCCCCCACACACTCCTTCCTAACCAGAGGCGAAAATCAAAACCTCCGTTTCGGGGCGGTGATAACACAGTAATGCTAAACAGCTGAACTGTGCTGAGTGCTCACCATGTGCCAAGCACGGACGTACATCATTGCCCCGTGAAATGCTCACAGCTCTGAGCCAGAGCTTGTGTTATTTTATCCTGGGGGTCTACCCAACTGAAACAGAGAGGGTAAGTGAGTTGCCCAAGGTCACACAGTGATGGCAGCCAGGAAGCGCCCAACTGTAGGCCCCAGCACTTGCAGGGAGAAAGGCTTTTCATTCATTCATGCCTGCGTGGTCTACCTACTAACCAGTGGCCTTTGCAGGCGATGGCACAGAGTGGGGTCACTTCCAAAGCTGGACAGGCAGCTCAGTGGGCCCAAGGTGGGGAAAAAAAAAGAGCTCAGTGGGGGGTGGCCCTTTCTAGCCAGGAGTGTGTGGGGCAGACTCCGTGCCCATAGCAGTGTGCATTGGTCTCATGTCTATCTGTGTATGCACGAGTGAGTTCCTGTGTCATATGATTGAAGGTGTGCATGGACTTCTGTGTCAGTGTTGTATGCATGGGATTCTGGTTGTGTGTGAGGGTGTTCAGTGCAGGTGTGAGTGTTGGAGAACATGAGTGTGACTTTGAAAGCGCCTGCCCATGTGTGTGTAGGGGGGAGGCTGAGTGGAGATGGCTGTGAGAGCAAGTGGCAGTGTGTCCCCGGTCACCCCGCATTCCAAAGCAGCCAACCGTGCCTCCCCAGAGTGACTCAGAGTTCTTGGCTTAGCCAGCCCTCCACGGGCCGCAGGACAAATCGGGCCGGGGGGCGGGTGGTCCCAATGAAGGGGTCTGACCCCAGGGTGCGGCCGGCCGGGGCGCAGGCCCGGACAACAGTTCTCCTCCTGGCGGCTCGGGTGCACCGCCTGGCTAGCAAGGCGGGAGCGGGGGCGGCCAAGACCGCCCAGGCGAGGGGCGGTGGCGCCGGCGCCAGAGGGGCCGGCGGGCGGATGCTGCAGCCGCCGGGTGCTGAGTGAGTCAGCGCGCCGCGGGCTAAAGAAGCCCGCGCGGGGACTCCGGCGGGGGCGGAGCGGGAGCTCTCCGGAGCGGCCCAGCGCGCAGCGCGCCCGTCCCTGCCTGGCCGCGCTGGGAGCCTCCGAAAAGCGCACGCGTTGTTCTTGGTTGCCCGGGTGCCCAGCCTGGGCAGCGGCTCGGGCTCCGGGAACGTGACCGCCTGAAGCCTGGTACCCAGGAAAAAGCGCACACATCCAATGAAAACAATAATTTATTTAAATAATCTCTTCATATTGTAAAATCAACATTAAGAGCATGTTGTTTTCATAATAAATAACCCCAAAATACCTTGCATTTCAAGAACAAAGACTTTAGGATAAGACAAAACAAACCCAAATCAGTAGCTTAATTTAACTGAGTTTTTTTGTTTTTCTTCAAAGTGAAAAATAAAACGGAGGGGTTGCTGAGGTCCCTGCTAAACTGCAGTTTCCACAACCGGGGGTTTACAAAAATGTCTGAAAAGATGAGGATCTTCATACAAATAAATCAGTGGGAAAATCTGCACAGACACTTTTATTTACAAACTCTGTGTCGAAGTCCAGGCTAATAATCCTGAATAGGTTTTAAAAAAGATAATTTAAACACATTTTTTGCAGTGTCCACATATTAAAAAATCATTTTTTTCCAACATCAAAATGAGGTCATCCGCAAAGGCACCTAAACTTTTAAAAAAATAAAAATAAAAAAACTCCACTGGTGATGGATGAGGAGAGAGCTAAGGGGGCGTCGCGGGAGGGGGGGTGACTAAGAGGGTTGGGGGCTCCGACGGCTGCGGACGGCGGGGCCGCGCGGGTCACAGGGGCACGCTGGGGAGGGCGGGCCCCGGGAGGTCAGCGGCCGAGGCCGGCAGGAGCTGAGCCCGGGGGCGGGCGAGGAGAAAGGAGCCTCAGAGCGCCGGGGAAGCCTCGCGGGCGGGGGAGGCGGCCCTCTCCGCGTCCCAGCTCAGGGCCCCGGGCGAGGAAGGCGCCGGACGGCCTCGCCCGGGCGGGGGTGGGGGGTGCGGCAAGTTCGAGGCGGGGCTCCAAACGGCCGAGCCCGGGGCTCAGGTCGGAAATGCGGCCGTGGGGGCGACCTTCGCCGCGCTGCTGCCCAGTTCCCCCGGGAAGAGCCTGGGGGGGGGGCGCAGCAGCCGCGCGCGGGAGTAGGGCCTGGGCGGCCCATCCCGGACCGCAGCCCCGCGCAGAGGTGGCCGGCGGTGGCGGGCCTGGAGCAGGGATCCTCCGCTTGGGGACGGGGGCGAGCACTGAGGATCACTGGTCTCTGCTCTCTCAGTCTCTGGCGCGGTCTCCCTGGGATTAGAAAATCGCCCCCGCGCTCACCGGGGCGCCCCCGCCGCCGTGGTGGTGGTGGTGGTGGGGCTGCGGGGTCTGCGCCGGGTGCAGCAGCGGCGCGGCGGCTTGCAGGTGTGACGCGGAGCCCGAGGCCTGGTGGTACCAAGGGTAGTTGCCCAGGAAAGCCGAGGCCGCGCTGCTGGGGCTGGAGCCCGAACTGCCCGCGCCGCTGCCGCCGCTGCCCGGGCCGCCGCCGCCACCCGCGATGCGCTGCGGCGCGCCGAAGTCCCACGAGGCCGGCGCGGAGACCGGCGGCGAAGCACACGGGGGCGAAGCGCTGGCCCCAGGGTGTTGCTCCGAGGGGATCTCGCCGCTTTTCCACATCTTCTTGAACTTAGATCGGCGGTTCTGGAACCAGATTTTGACCTGTACGGAAACAAGGACGCGGGCATTACATAAGTGGTTTGGGAACCTGGGCATGGGGCAGGGGAGCGAGCAGAACAAGACGGCGCGAGCCCATGGTTAAGAGCTGAGCGCTCCGGATGGGTGAGCGGGCGCGTGCGGCAGCCTCGCAGCCACGCGGGTCGCCTGCCCCGCGTGGAGGTGATCTCAAGAAGGCCGACGCCTGTGCAATGTGCGCCGTGGAGCGGCTGCCGCGTGTGGGGTCCGGAGGGCCCAGGGTGGGGGTGGTTCTCCCGCGTAATCAGTAGCGAGCTGCGTCTTCTGCCCACCCCAGTCCTCCGTCCATCCCTCGCGGCAGCCTCCTGGGAATTTTCAGTTTGGGGCCTAGAAGTTCTGGAAAGCCCTCGAAATCCTGAAACCACACGTGTGGAAGCAGTGTCCCAAGGCCTCCTGCGTCCCAGCACCCAGGTTAGCGCCCTCCCGGCCCCCGCGGGGCGCGCGCCGCACCTGAGTCTGCGTGAGGCCCAGAGACGCCGCCAGCTCGGCTCGCTCGGGCAGCGCCAGGTACTGAGTCTTTTGGAAACGCCGCTGCAGGGCCGCCAGCTGGAAACTGGAGTAGATGGTGCGGGGTTTCCGGACTTTCTTTGGCTTCCCGTTCACTATCCGGATCTCAGGCTCGAGGTCCTCCTTTTCTGCAACGAAACGGAATCGTGAGACCCGCGCGACTCGGGGGGGGGGGGGTGTCCTGGGCCGGGGGGAGGGGTGTCCCGCCGGCCTGCAGGGCTCGGCGGAGCCATGGCCCGAGCCAGGGTTCTTGGAGATGCTGCGCGGGCTCCAGGCACAGCCGCGCTGCCGGGACTGGCGCCGCTACAGGAAGCGGGAGCTGACCGCCCTGGAGAAGGGCAGGTGCCCGGCCCGCGGGAGGGGCTGGAGAGGTAGACAGGTGGCGAGGCAAAGCGGCCGCCAGGAGGCTGGCACCGCGCGGGGGCGCAGACGGTGACACGCGGCGGTGCGAAAGGCCAGGGTGTCCGATGCCCCTCCCCAGACACGTTTGCCCCACGCATCCCAAGGACCGGACGCCAGCGGCGTGCCTACCCGGCTCGTTGTTGGCTGGGGACGAACCGGTCCCGTAGGGCGCGTAGGAGGTGTAGGCGGCGGTGTAGCCCAGGTCGTAGCTGCCCTTGGCGTTGTAGGGGACGTTGCTGAGGCCGCTGGCGTGGTACTGGTAGGAACCCATGTGCGCGTAGGGCGAGCCCCCCGCGCCGCCGCCGCCACCGCCGCCGCCGCCCGCCGGGTGCTGCTGGTTGGTGTAGTAGCTGCTGTCGGTGGCGGTGGACACTGGGAGGGTGGGCGACTCCTGGGGCTTGTGGAGGCCGCCGCCGCCGCCGCCGCCGCCGGGGCCCGCGCCGCCGCCGCTCGGGGGCTGCTGGTGCTGGTGGTAGGTGCTGGAGGCCGAGATCTGGGTCGAGTGCATATCAGCCACCAGACTGTCAAAGACTCCAGTCATCCTGGCCCGGGACGGGGAAGAGCCGGGGCGGCGGGCTTGCGGGGGCCGCGAGGCGCCTCCTTCGTCTCTCTCGGTCCCCTCCAGCGGCCAATGTAATTACGGGGGTGGCGGGGAGGGGGGAGGCAAACAGGAATCGAGGCGACCGTCTAGCGCCGCCTCCTCCTCCTCCTCCTCCTCCTCCGGGGGAGGCGGTCAGCGCGCGGCGCTCGGGACGGCTCCGGTCCGCCGCATCCTCTCTCGGCCGCTTGCCCAGCGCGCGCTCGGGCGGGGGGCGGGCAGTGCAGGGGGCAGGGCTGGCTGGCGGGGCCGGGTCGCGGCTCCGGGAGGCGGGAGCAGGTGAGCGGCCCCGCGCGGCTTTACGATTGTCTGGCGGGCGGGCTCCCGCAGGGTGGGCATTTAACGCGCATCACGTGAGCGCGGGCGACGTCACCTAGCAACGGCCAATCAGGGGCGGCGGGCCGCGGCCGGCCGCGGGGCGCGCCGCTGGGCGCCCCGGAGCCGGGCGGGTCTGCCTAGAAGAGTCCCCGGCCCGCGATTGCCACCTGCACGCGCGAGGGCACTTTTCCAACGTGTTCGTCGAAGCGGTGCCCAGAAACGGGCCGCCTGGCCTTGGACGGAGTCAATGGACCAAGACGACCCGCAGACCTCGTGCAGGGCCACCTGCCTCCCGCCCAGCCCGCGGGGCTATTAGGACAATTAATTACAGCACAGCCACACGCGTCCCCCTCGTTGCTCCAGAGGAAAGCTATATAAACCCAGGGGTATTATTACTAATACTGCATTTGAAACCACTTTCGCTTGCACGCTGCCGACCTGCAGAGGCTCCGGCTAATTACGCGTGTTGAGTGGGTGGGTGATGGTCGGGGACGCCCTCCTTTGAGTGGGCAGGCGGACCCGACTGACCACACGGCCTCCAACGTGCATTCTGACCCTATAGCCGACACCTGTACAAAAAAAGGAAATGCCGTAATCCAGATTGATCCATCGAGATTAATCACGTCTTGGTAAATTTGCAACAAATATAAAAAGTTTTATCTCGTGCACTTTGTTTGACCCTTGTTTTATTTATTTATTTTTTTCAGCTTGGCACCTTAGGACCCTGTTCTGCCCTGCCGTCGTAAAATTTTTTTTTTTAAGTCGGCGGCGGCGATCTCCTCTGCATCTCCAACTCCCGGCGGTTGGGAACTTGGCCAGAGTGTGACGGACACACACCCTGGCTGGACTCCCAAGTCCGAGGCGTCCACGGCAGCTCCTGCTCTGTGGCGCCACCTGGTGGGCGGCGTGCGAGGTTGCGGCGGGCTCGGTAGACGGTCTAATCACGCCCAGGCGCCAGCTTCTGAAACCCCCCAAAAGAACAAAATAGTAATTAAAAGCCACAAAATTGTGCTGCTGCGCGCCATCTGAAGCACCCTTTCCTAAAGACATAACATGTCGCCGAAGGAACTTGTTACAACAACTGCCTAATGGAAAACAAGTTGATACTTTGAAAAATATAATCTTCCGTCTTCTTCCCCAGAAAAAGCAAGCGTGTAATTAAAACCCCAGCCTTCACACAGCGGAATAATGAGGCAGGTAGTGCGCCTTCAAGTCGGCCTGGCGGTAGTTCCAGCCTTCCGTTGGGTTCAGGAGGGTCCCGAGATGGGGAAGAGCGAGTTTATTGGAAAGCACTCTGCGTGGCGGGCTGCAGCTACAAGGTGAACCGCTTGTCCGTTGGGGTCTTGACTTCAAATTCCAACTCTTTCTTTCTGCCAGTAAAGCAGTAGCTGTTTTCACCTAATATAGAAAATAAAAATAAAAATAAAAAACCCGTCCAGCGGCAGTACTCCTGCCTTCCCACCGTGCCCTTGACCCTGCCCTTGAGCACTTTTTCTGTGGTGGCCACTCTGGTGTAGTTAATTCCTTCCCAAACTCCATTAGCAGCCTGACGTCCAGGTTAGCTGATCTGGACCATGGTATTTTTTTTTTCTAGAAGGCAATATGGCTCGAATTCCCTCTGATCTGGAGAATAAACTTTGTGTGTGTGTGTGTGTGTGTGTGTGTGTGTAAGAGGGAAGAGAGGAGACTCCGGTATAAACCCGAGGTATTAATTCTGGTAAGTTGAACACAGGTCTGAGTTTGTCCAAACTGGCTGGGTACTACATCACAATATCCAGATGACTTCCTTTCTTTGGCTTAAAGCCAGGGGGACAGTGGTGGGGGGGAGAACTTGGCTCTTTTGTCACGGTTCAGAACAGGGTGATGCCCCCTCCTAAGGGGAGGAGAGAAGGACAGAGAAGGAGGGAGGGAGGGAGGGAGAGAGAGAAAGAGAGAAAGAGAGAGAGATGCCTTCTTCCCTCCGCAGGGGCCTGGAGAAGGGGGTGTGGTGGGGATGAGGGGAGCCTGCCTGTCTGCATGGGCTCGGTCTGTTCCGCCCCCATCTTTGAGCCCTTCCAGGTTTGAATCTTGTGCCCATTGCACAGAGGAATACTGAGGCCCCGAGGACGGAAGCCGCCTCCTTAGAGGTAAAGGGCGCTCCCCTGGGGCGCGGCGGCACCAGAGTACCTGTGAGCCTGGGGGAGTGGCGCCGGGCTCCCGCCGCCGACTGCGAACTGGACGGCGCGGCTCTGCACCCTGCCCCTCCGGCGGCCGCACCCGGCCCAGCGCCTCGTCTCTGCTTGGCGGTGGGGTGACCCTGCCATCCCCAGGGCAGCGCGGGCTGCACGTGCTACTGCGAGACGGCTGCGCTCCCTCGCCAGGGCCCCGGGCACGCAGGATGCCCTCTCGCAGCCCCGTCTTCCTACTTTCCCCGAACTAGGAGCTCCAGGAACTGCGTTTGGGCTTCATTCTGGAACCTGACGTTGGCGGAGGCCGGGTTTTGGCTTCTGAGACACGGCCAGCTCTGCGCTCTCGTCCCGTCGCGGTTGCCGCCTGCGCTCTGGCACGGCTCGAGCGACACGGGGAGCCCCTGAGGCCTCATACTCCCGGGTCTGTGTTTTTGGCGCTCACACCCCCTCTCTACCCCCAGCTCCCCTGCAGAGCCCTGGCGAGAGGACGCCGGAAGCCCTCGGCGGCAGCGACTCTCGTTGGTCCACTGGCTACCGCTTCGGCCGCAGCCCGGTCCTGCCCTCTCCTGCAAAGGGACTGCCTCGCTTCTCCGCATCCCGAGCGGCCGCTGGTCGTGCGCCCCTGCGCCGAGCGCTCGGGCGCCTCAGCCGCGCCTCTCCCCCGCGCCGAGCAACCCCGGCCCTCAGAGCTCGCCGTCTGCCGCGAGAGCGTTTACGGGGCGTCCCGGGGCTTGCTGCTCCCGATCTCACTGACGCGCAGAGTCGCCCCCACGTGCTCGGCCCATCAGCCACATTGGAGAAACCTGGGCTTAGACAGACTCGCTGGCCCGGGGGCGCACGCAGCAGTCGGGATTCCGCAGAGGCACCGCTGCCGTCGCACTGCGCCGGGCTTCTGGCCTGGGGAAGGCCACGCGGGACCTGCTTCTCCCGGGATTGGCCGTTCGCGCGCAGTGGCACAGTTGGGAAAGGGCCTGGGCCGCCCCGAGGTTGAGCACGGCCTTCCAGCCCCTCGGGGCTGATTGGAAGGAGGTCCCCCCACCCCCCACCCCGCGGACGAGGAAGCGGCTCGACGGACCGGACTGAGCAGCAGGTATGCCCCCGGCGGTCCCCAACGAGATTCCCAAACAAACGCGAGCGTCCCGGGCGCGGGCGGGCACCCCCGGGCACCCAGTTCTTTGTCCCCGCTGAGGTTCCGTCGGGATCGTCCGCGGGGCCCACACACCGCTCGTTCCCGGCCGTAACCTTGGCGCCGCGCCGGGCTGGCCGTGCACCGCGCTTCTAGGGCGTTCGGATCCAGCTTCCTCATCTGCCTGTCTCACTTCACCCTCTACGTGGTGGCTACAGCGGGGAGCCAGAGCCGGGGTCCTCGCACCTGGCGAGGGGTTCCCCCAGGTTCCCAGGCGTCCAGCCGCTGGCGTCGCAGCGCACAGGCCGCACAGGCCGGGCATGGGCGGGAGAAACGCGTCCTCATTCCATGGCCGGGCTGCCCCATCTCGGAGCCCAGGACGTGGGGGCGACGAGCGCGGGTGGAGTAAGTGCCCCCTCGCTGCCCCAGGACAAAAGTTGCAGATGCACAGACCACTGGGGTGTCCACTCTGCACTTTGAGCAGCCCCACGGTGGCGGTGGCCATGGCTGGAAACACGTTTGTTCTCAAACCTGAAAGGCGGCGGCTCCCTTGAGCTCCGGGCCCCCAGCTGCAGGCACCCTCGGCCAGGGCAGGAGTCGGCTGGGTCCTGGCGCCTCTGGTCCGGCTCCCGCGCTCAGGGCAGGGGACGCTGGCTCTCCCGGCGGGCCGGGCTGCGCACGGGAGCGGCGAAGCAGCGCGGGGCTTGGTCCCGGCGCCTCTCGTCCCGCGTTTGTGTTAGTTCCTGCGGTCAGGTGGTAACCGCGGCCCCTGCCACTGGGGCGCGGACGTGAGCTCTGCGCGGGCGCCCGTAGCGCTGGGTTGACCGGCTAGCGTCCGTCTGACTTCCAGGTCTCCCATCCTGGTCCGGTCCTTTTCACTTTAGTGTCTCTCCAGGGGATAAGGCAAAGGCGGGCGCGAGCGCACACATTCCATCACTGAACTGGGAGAACTTGGAAGGAAACGTCTAGAACCTTCCGCCAGGACTCTTCCTACTCTCTTTTGCCGGCTGCTCACCCAGAGAGCAGTGGCACTTCCCGTGCATGGGAGCCAGATTTGCGGCGGGAACCCCTGCTGTTACTTCGTGGCCCTGGAAGAAGGACTTGATTTCCCCTTGCGTTATTGTTTGCATCTGTAGAAGGTGCCTAATAAAAATGCCTGCCTCCTGGGACCACGTGTTGGCTTCTCTGCTAGCCAGCCGCCTCCCTTATGGGCCCCAGGCCCTCTCTTGGCCACTGAGGGGAGGGAGGAACAGATCAGGGGCTGGCCTATGGGAGCTGGCTGTGGGTGATCCCAGTGCGCTGGGGAGAGGTCAGACCTGGAGATGAGGGGTGCGGGGCCTCCCTCAGCACTGAGTCTAGTCCGTGTGGCCTTGAACCACTCCACCGAGTATGCTGGCATGCTAGGTAGGGTGCTGTGGTGGCAGGCCACTGGAGACTTTCCTGTGGACATACCCGGCCCCTTCTGTTGGCTTCTGAAAATGGAGAGAGCAGTGCAGGGAGGAAACTTGCACTGGCATTGGGTAGCTCTGCCTGGCTCCCTGCATCCTTCATAAACAAAATAAAATATTATCCATAAGAGTCACAAGGTACGGATGGACGGTGGCTCAAGTGCTTGGGTCCTTGCCACCTATGAGAGAGACGTGGAGGAAGGTCTGGCCTCTGGCCTTGGCCTGGTCCAGGTTCTCTCCCAATCTGCCTTTGAAATAAGTAAATGCACCAATGAATAATTTTTTTATTAAAAAAAACCACAAGGGAAT